TGAACTCTTATTATGTGCCAGGTGCTGCTCACAGGTCTGGAGATCCCATGGTGACTAAAACAGGCCAACGTTAGGTGTTGCACACTGCTGTCGCTAATCGCACTGTTTGTTAGCGACAAACCCCACCGTTATCACTACCTGCCTGGCAAGGATCAGCATAAATCCAAGTCCCACCTGGAAGTAGACCCAGGCTTCACTTTCCCACATCTCTTCTTGTCACCAGCCACTTCTGCGGCACTTCCTCTCACCCTAACCACCCAAAGTTAGGTCAAAACATCCCCGGCCACGGGAGCCAGGTCATCAGGTACCAGCCATGGGCTCAGGAATCTGCACAACTCCCTGCACTTCAGACCAGCCAGCCCCTCTGTCTGCCTCTAGCCCCCTGGGGCTAGGTCACAAGCTAGAAGGTCTTGGTCGTTCATTGACTGGCCATGCAGCCTTTCCCTGTCCATCAGCCACCCAAAGCTGGTTCCTCATGAGTTAGGTCTCTGTCCTTGGCCCTCTTCTGAATTAGCCACCCTGACCTAAATCAAAATTTCATTGTCCCTGTGGGTTCGTTAATTCTCAATAACAGCTCATAAAATTCATAGAAACTATTGCCTGTACTTGCAGTTACCCATTGATTATAACCAGAAAGGATACAAGGAAAAGACTCATCAGGCATGTCTGGGAGAGTCCCCGGCATAGGGCCTTCGTTGTCCCCAGAGACATACCCCCTGTCCAGCATGTGGATGTTATCACCAAATCCAGGAAGCAAGCCCCCCCAAAAAAGAGCTCCAAGGCTTTGGGTCCTTTATAAGTCATTGGGACCCCCAAAGTATATGCATGACTGGGGTCTTAATGCATAGTTATGATTGGTTCAATCAGTGAATATGCATGACTGCATCTTGCCCCCACCCTTCCCGAGACTATTTGCCAGGGTGGAGCCTGTGTATCCCCCTACTTATTTACACATGTTTAAGTGTCGCCCGGCTGTTTTAAAAGAACAAAGAACACCTTAATTGTTTGGGCTGTTTTCAGAAATCAGAGACAAAAGGCCAAGCCAAATTCTTTGTCCCAAACTGGGGTTAAACACAGTTTAGCAGTAATCTGAAACTTGATCTTCTAGGCTCTAAGGACTCAAAGTGAAACAGGGTGATTCCATTCTTACCCTCTTAAAGCTTTTATAAGGAAAGCAGACAATAGCCAAGGAAGCAGAAAAACTTAATTTCAGATGGCAATAAATAGTATTAAGATAAAATGCAGAGTAAGGGAGTATGGGGTGCTATTTTTAACTTGTTATTATGGAGAACTTCAAACATACAGAAGTAGACAGACAATTAAGTTCCACGCACCCATCATCCCAGCCTCAACAATTCATTGACTCATGGCCAATCCTGCTTTACCCATAATACCACTCACTTCAACGTTATCCTAAAGCAAATCTGGAGGTGCTATTTTACGAAGATCAGGGAAAGCCTCTCAGATTGACATCTGTGCCAAGAACAAATGGTGAGCACAAGGGCGGCTGTTAAAAAATCAGAAGGAAAAGCACTTTCTGGCAGAGGGAACAGCAAGAGCAAAGGCCTGAGATGGTAAAGAGATTGTGTTTGAGGTGAAGTGGAGCTAGACAGGAGTGGAGTAGATAAACAGGAGAGAAATGGATGAGGACAGAAAGATAAGCTTGACCAGACCAAGTCCCCGGGTTAAGAACTCGTACTTAAGAATGGAGTGCCATACAGCCTACTGTATTAAAATTTGAGTTAAATACAAGCAGTCCCCAGGTTAAACTCTACTTGTTCTAATGTTCTGTAAATCTGCCCTCCCTTTGAAACGATTGAACCAACCCCTACTCGCAACAAATTCTTCATCACAATCACCTTCAATTTATGCACGTGCAGCTTTTAAATCACTGAAAAGGTTTCAAGTCTTTTTTTGCATTAAAGTAAGGCTAAATAAGAACTGTAGGCACCTGCTCTGACTCACCTACAAATTCTTAAAGACACACTTAGGAACACATCTCGTGTGTGACCCGGGGAATGCCTGTACAATGGTTCATAATAACGAACGCACGCACTGCTTTGTGATGCTCGTGAAAACATCGCGCGGCTTCAGCGGTTAGTCAGCTTGTGGAAGGAAAAGCTGTCTGCCATTTTACCTTGGAACACGTTGCTGTTAACACTGCGTTGAGTGCGTAATTTTGGCTTAACTTTTCCTCTCATTTACCCTTCTAACCACGCCTCCAAAGCGTAAAGCTGATGCAAGTGCTGGTGATGCATCAAAGAAAAGGAAAAGGAAAACGATCACGATTGAAAATAAAGTGGAAATAATAAAGCGATCAGAAAGAGGTGAAACGCCATCGGCCATTGGAGAAGCGTTAGGCTACAGTCGGTCAACGGTCGGAACAATTTTAAAGAATACAGTGAGAATAATGGAGCATGTGAAAGGCTCTGCCCCGATGACAGCTACAATTATTACTAAGCAACACAGTGGTTTAATTATTGACATGGAAAGGCTATTGATAATTTGGTTAGATGATCAAAATCGGCGTAATATGCCTATTAGCCTGACTTTAGTGCAAGAAAAGGCTCGAAGTCTTTTCAATGATTTAAAAGCTGCACGTGCAGCAAGTGAAGGCGATTGTGATGAAGAATTTGTTGCGAGTAGGGGTTGGTTCAATCGTTTCAAAGGGAGGGCAGATTTACGTAATATGAAAGTGCAATGTGAAGCAGTGAGTGCGGATATAAGTGCTGTCAGTGATTTTTCTGAAAAGACGAAAAAAAATATTGAGGAAGGAGGTTATTTGCCAGACCAAATATTTAATGTAGATAAGATGACAGCATTTAAGGAAGAAGACTCGGACCTAAAAACTCCCGAACTGGAAAAGTTTTTGACGAAAGAGTTAGCTGAAGCCTTTCATCTCATTGAAGCAGGGATGGCAAAGTTAGAGGAGCAAGATCCTAATACAGAGAGGTTCACCAAAGTTTACCGTACAGTTACCGAGGGCCTCAGCTGCTACAAGGCCATTTATGACGAGAAAAAGAAAAGCTCTATACAAACCTCCCTTGATGCCTACTTCAAGAAATTGATTCCAGTAGTAAACCCCCCGGCTCCAGCACAATCAAACCCTGACTCTCCAGCACCAGGCCCATCATCTTCAATAGTAGCGATCTCTCCATCACCTTTTCCTCCATCATCCAAGATATCAATGGAACAAGAGTAAGCGTTAACATTTAATCATGATCTTTTTCTATCTAAACTGTTTCAAGAACTGTTTAATTTTTTTTACAGTACTGTATACCTACACACATAACACAGATTCTCTCCAGTACAATACTGTATACAGTTACTTTTATTATTATTGCATTATTATGTACTGTAATGTTCAAGATGTTTTAGTGTATTTGGAAGTGTTTCTTGAGTGTTTTATATGCATAGAAAGGTAAAACATATACTATATACTAAGACAAACATTTGACTAAAAAAAAAAACCAAATCCGTTGCCGTCTAGTTGATTTTGACTCATAGCAACCCTATAGGACAGAGAACTGCCCCATAGGGTTTCCACGGAGCGGCTGGTGGACTGGAACTGCTGACCTTTCGGTTGGTAGCCGAACGCTTAACCAGTGTGCCACCAGGATGCGGAAAAAGAACCGTACTTTCCTATTCCGACTTACCTACAAATTCAACTTAAAGACAGGCTTAGGAACTGACCTCATTTGTAACCCAGGGACTGCCTGTATAGCCATGATAAGGAGTTTGGATTTTCTTCCAAGTGCAATGGGATGCCATTGGAGAGTTTTAAGCTGGGATGTGTCAAAGTCACTTCCTTCTGGAAGTCTGGAATGCTGTAAGAAACTTCCTATACCCTCAGTATACAGTCTGAGTGAAAAAGCCTTAGTCCCTGGGTGGTGCAAACTGTTAATGAACCTCAAAAGAAAGGCCTGCCAATCTATTTCCAAAAGGTCACAGCCATGAAAACCCTATGGAGCTGAGTTCTGCTCTGTCACACATGGGGTCACCTTGAGTCTTAATTGACAGCAACTGATTTGACCGGTAGGAGCCTTTCCCCTCTCCCACTCGGTGTTCCAGGCATACTAAACTGCTTTCACTTCCTCAAACCATGCACTTTTTGCCTCTGGCTGTTCGTCTGCCAGAAAGATTCCCATTCTAGCTCCATGCTATTCTTCACTTAAAGATCACTGCCTCCTGGAAGCTTTTCCTGAACTCCAGATTGGGACAGGGGCCTCCTCGGGGCTCGCACAGCCTCCTACACATCAGCCATCTCAGGTCTGACCAGTCTCTGATCTTGCTTTGCCTGGGGCGCCAAGAGGGTAAGGGCCGGGTATGTCTTGTTCACCGCAGGAAACCATGAGACAGGGCCTGACCCTAAAAAAAAATCAATATTTATCCAGGTTGCACGAGGAGGGGGGTGTCTGATAAGGGCCTTGGCCTCTGTGACCCCTCTCCAGATGCAAATTGATCCCCAACCCAGACTAGACCTCCGCGCTAGTCCGCAGTCCCGGTGCGCAGGCGCTATTTGCTCAGCCCCGGCCCCCGGCCCCCGGCCCCCGGCCCCCACCCCCGCTATGCTAATCACTGCGCTCAAGAGTAAGGCTTCTCTTGGGAATATGCAAATCACTCCTTCCAGCAGGAGGCCTTCCATTGTCCCGCACTAGGATTATGCAAATGAGAAGGCCTCCTGTTGAGGATCCAACCGAACTGACGACCCCCACGCTATCCCATTTTTATAAGGCCGCGTTCTTGCTCCGCACACACGCACGCGCGTGTCCTGCAGCTTCTAGGTCTACCCGCGGACTATACCAAGAGCACCTAGCCAGTGAGGGGCGCATCCCGGCACCCCCTGAGCAGGCCTCTCCGAGAGCCAGACCCGGATAGCCCCTCTTCTCACAGTGTGACAGGAATGGTCCATTTCGGAGCGCAAGCGCCCTAGGCCCTTCACGCCCCTTGCGCTCCCTCCTACCCAACTTGCAGCGCACGCGCAGAGCCGGGGTGTGCAGCCGCCACCGCTGAGCCCGAGCGGGGGCCACCAGCGCCGGTAAGTGTTCGGGGCAGGGGTTCGCGGGGCATGCCGGGAAGCGGGCGCTATGGCCCCTTTGCATGATGGGAGTGACGGCTCCTGTCACCGAGGAACCGGCAGTGGTCTTGGGCCGTGGTGGCTCGAGGGCGAGACCCAGGTTCCCTTTTCTCTCTTTCCGCAGCTCCGTGCTGCCCTGGGGCATCCTGGGAAAACAGGACTCCCAGACCGATGTAGCACTGTGGGAGTCCCTCTGCTAGTCCTTATAGGCCTGGTGCATTCTGGGAAGGATTATCCTAGTTCCTTGTGGGGAATTTTTGTAATACCCCCCCCCCCATCTTGAAAGGTGGTCATTATAGGCCAGAGGCATCTTGGGAAGAATTACTCTAGGGCATTTTTGGGAACTGGTCCTTATTGTTTTGTACATAAGATTTTGCCCTGGCCTCTTTGCTTTAGTGTTGTGGGAACGGGTGGCTGTTGTGTTCACGCAGGGGATCTTGGGAGTTGTTTGCTGTAGACTTGGGGCATTGTCAGGGCAGTTTGGCTTATGGTATTGAAAGAGATTCATTTGTGACCCTCTAAGATCTTGAGAGCCAGTCTATCCCCCACAGGCATTGTGGGAGAGGCCTCACGCACCAAGGGATGCCTCCGCCAGAGGTGTGGCGTTTTTCTGAAGGGGCCTTGTATGATGTGGGCTTGGAGAAGGGTAGACCAAAACAGATGGGCATTGCCCCCTGGTAGCCTCATGGGAAGTCCTGATTGTCCCTGGTGTACAGTGGCCAGATTAAATATAGGACACTCAGTTAAATTTGAAATTCAGATAAACAATAATCTCTTTGAAAATTATGCCCCAAATATTGCAGGTGACATACTTAGCTTATAACTGGGTTCACTCTGTTTTTATTTGCTAAATCTGGCAACCCTATCCTGGAGTAAAGTAGAATTCCCAAATTAGATGAGGGCCTCCAGGTAATAGAGTATCATGAGAACTCTTCTGTCCTTTCTTGTCCTTAAAATCCCAGATCCAGGTGTCTTCTTTAGGAAGCTTCCCTGCCAATGATGCCAGCCAAAGCTGGCATTAGTCCTGTCTTAGTCATCCAGTGCTGCTCCAACAGAAATACCACAAGTGGATGGCTTTAACAAGGGGAAGTTTATTCTCTCACAGTCCAGTAGGCTACAAGTCCAAATTCAGGGTGTCAGCTCCAGGGGAACGCTTTCTCCGTTGGCACTGGAGGAAGGTCTGTGTTGTCATCAATCTTCCTTTGGTCTGGGAGCTTCTCTGTGCAGGAACTTCAGGTCAAAGGACGCACTCTGCTCCCTGCTCCTGACACTGCCTTCTTGGTGGTATGAGGTTCCCCATTCTCTGCTTGCTTCCCTTTCCTTTTATCTCTTGAGAGATGAAAGGTGGTGCAGGCCACACCCCAGGGAAACTCCCTTTACATTGGATCAGGGATGTGACCTGGGTAAAGGTGGTGTTACAGTCCCACCCTAATCCTCTTTAACGTAAAAATTACAATCACAAAACGGAGGCCAACCACACAATTCTGGGAATCATGGCCCAGCAAAATTGATACACACATTTTTGGGGGGACATAATTCAAACCATGACAAGTCCTTAGCATTAAACTTGACCTCCAGGCTTGAAGGGACCATGTATTTTCCATCATCGTATCCCCAGTGCCCAGCACAGGCCTTAACATATAAGGGTTGCAGCTGAGGCTGCCTGCCCTTTTTGCTGACTGGCTCCACATGGCTCTCTACCTTCGGGGAGAGAGCCAAAACCAAACCAAACCCATTGCGGTCAAGTGCATTCTGACTTATAGCGACCCTATAGGACAGAGTAGAACTGCCCTATAGGTTCCAAGGCTGTAATCTTTATGAAAAAAGACTGCCACATCTTTCTCCTGGGGAGCATGGCTGGTAGGTTCAAACCACTGACCTTCGGGTTAGCAGCCAAGCACTTAACTACTGCACCACCAGGGCTCCTTTCAAAAGAAGTAGGGGTGTGAGTGTTTGTAGGGAGTATTGGTGAGGAGGGAGAAAAAGGAAAGGAGTCAGGGAAGGCTTCTTGAAAAAGGTAGTATTTGGGCCGGGAAGAAGTACAGAGGTTGTTGTGTTTGAGGTGGGCTTTGAAGGGTGAGTGGGAGTTCTCCAGGCAGACAAGGGGAAAAGAGGACATTGTAGACAGCAAAAGATGCGGAAGGGCTTGGCGTGCGCAGGGAGAGGTGAGAAGTCTGGAGTGGCTGGAGTTTATAGAGGGGTGGGGGTGGGAATAGCAACAGCCACCGTTCATGGAGTACCTACCACATACTAGTAGTTTATATTTACGATCCTACTGAATCTTCAAAAAATCTTTTCAAGGGAGAGATCATTTTATAAGAGGTAGGATGACATGGCTTCAGATTCTAGTTCAGCACCTACCAGATGGTGTGACCTTGGGCCAGTTGTTTATTCTCTCTGCGCCTTAGTGTTCTCATCTTTACAATGGAGATAATAATCTCTTTCTTAACATGGTTATCAATAAAACAGGAGTTGAGCCCTGGAAGCCTCTTTCCTACAGAGAAACAAACAGGCCAGAGAAGTTAAGTCCTCTGCTTGAAGCCACACAGCTTTGAGAGTGGCAGATTTAGGATTCAAACCTAGACACCACCATGCCAAGGTATAAATTGATATAGAACTAGGGCTGACATTCACAGACTGGTACAGCCATATCCTTTGTTTAAATATTGAAATACTTCCTGACTGACTGGTATATCACATTACACAAAGTAATCCTTACCCTCAGCTGCCACTTTGGGCCCCCTCCCATCCCCCGGACCTCCCCACAATTCAGCAGCTTAAGGGTTAATGGCTAGCACAGCACCCTGCTCCACTCTTGGTTCTCATTGGTGCCTGTGCCAGTACCGGTGGCTAACTGTTTGGAATGTGAATAAGAACCACAGACAGCCCTGTTACCCAGATGGGGAAATTAAGACCTACAGAGAGGCAGGGTCAGGCAAGCTCAGTCAAGGCCTTGTAGGCTGTCAGGGACAGAACTACAGCCATCTTTGTCTCACGTCCAGTGCTGACCACACAGCTGGGCCTGGGAGGGGGGGTGCTATGTAAATATTTATTGAGTCACCATGGGCCTTTCCTTTCCCCTACCCAGTATCCCTCTCAACCTGCCAACAGTCTGCATTGGAGAAGCACTTGTGGCCAGAGGTGTGGCTGTGGAGAGCTGGCCGGGGAGGGACACTGCCCAGCTGCTGCTCTGCTCCTGTCTCCTGTCCCCTCCCCTGGCCATGACAGAGACCCGTGAGCCAGCTGAGACTGGGGGCTACGCCAGCTTAGAAGAAGATGATGAAGACCTCTCCCCAGGTGAGGTGGTCTTCGACGTGGTGGTGTTGGCGTGAATATCATCCTGTCTTGGGGTTTGGACTCTGCCAAGAATTCTTGATGGGGAGGGGCTTCTTGTCTTGCTGAGGGTTCTATTCTGACTAGGACTCCTTGCCCTGCTAGAGGAGCTCTTCCAGCAGAGGTTTCTAGATTGGCTATGATCTCTGTCCTTGCTGGGGATTCTAGATCGGCTGTGATCGCTCTCCTTGCTGGAAGTTCTAGATCCGTCGCAACCTTTCTCTTTGTTGGGGGTTCTAGAACGGTTGCGGCCTCTGTCTTTGCTGAGTGTTCTAGAGCGGCTGTGGCCTCTTTCTTTGTTGGGGGTTCTAGAGTGGCTGTGGCCTCTCTCCTTGCTGAGCGTTCTAGAGTGGCTGCAGCCTCTCTCTTTGCTGTGTGTTCTAGAGCGGCTGCGGCCTCTCTCCTTGCTGTGCATTCTAGAGTGGCTGCGTCCTCTCTCCCTACTGAGAGTTCTAGAGCGGCTGCGGCCTCTCTCCCTGCTGAGAGTTCTAGAGCGGCTGCGGCCTCTCTCCCTGCTGAGATTTCTAGAGCGGCTGCGGCCTGTCTCCCTGCTGAGAGTTCTGGAGCGGCTGCGGCCTCTCTCCCTGCTGAGAGTTCTGGAGCGGCTGCGGCCTCTCTCCCTGCCGAGAGTTTTAGAGCGGCTGTGGCCTCTCTCCCTGCTGAGAGTTCTAGAGTGGCTGCTGCCTCTCTCCTTGCTGTGCATTCTAGAGTGGCTGCGGCCTCTGTCCCTACTGAGAGTTCTAGAGCGGCTGTGGCCTCTCTCCCTGCTGAGAGTTCTGGAGCAGCTTTGGCCTCTCTCCCTGCTGACAGTTCTAGAGCGGCTGCGACCTCTCTCCTTACTAGGGGTTCTAGATAGACTGTGATGTCTCTTTTTGGTAGAGGTTCTAGATGGGGAAAAATGCCTCCCCTTGCTGGGGGTTCCAGATCGACTATGATCTCTCTCCCTGCTGGATAGTCTAGTTTGATATCTCTTCTTGATGGAGGTTCTAGATCGGCTAGGACTCTCCTTGCTGGGCCTTCTAGATCGGCTGTGATCTCTCTCCTTACTAGAAGTTCTAGGTCGACTGCTATCTCTGTCTTTGCTGGATGTTCTGGATCGGCTGCCATATCTCTCCCTGCTGGGTCTTCTAGACTGACTATGACTTCTTTCCTCACTGGGGGTTCTAGACTGACTATGACTTCTTTCCCTTCTGGGGCTTCTAGATTGAGTATGACTTTTCGTCTTGCTGTGGGTTCTAGACTGGCTATGTCTTCTTGTCTGGCTGGGGGTGTGCTTCCGGGTGCGACTTCTTGCCCTACTATGAGATTCCCAACTGTGACTTCTGGTCCTGCTGATGATCCTCTTCTGACTGTGACTTCTGGTCCTGCTGGAGGTCCTCTTCCGACTGTGACTTCTTGCCCATCTGGGGGTTCTAGACTGACTGTGACTTCTGGTCCTGCTGGGAGTCCTAGACCAGCTACGACTTCTGGTCCTGCTGGTGGTCCTAGACTGGCTATGACTTCTGACCCTGCTGGGTGCACTAGGCTGGTTGTAACTCCTGACCTCGCCAGACAGCTTAGGTGGGCTGTGACTCCTTTCCCTACTGGGGGTGATCATCTGACTGTTACTCTTCACTCTCCTTGGGGACAGTGGAAAATGGCTGTAACTCTTCTCCTTGATGGCAGTCCTAGTCGGGCTGTGACTCTTTGCCCTGCTGGGGATGGCAGCCAGCCCGGAATTGCTTCCCACACCTGAGGCCCCCGGTGGGCTGTAACTCTTCTCCTTGCTCATAGTTCTAGGCTGGCTGTCATTCCTTTCCTGGTTGGTGCTTCCGGGCCGGCTGTGACTCCTCCCCCCATGGTGTTTGTGCTGGGAAGTAGGAGTACTCACCCTTCTGGGCATGCCTGCTCTGGCCCCCTGAGTTCTCATCCTGCTGGGAGTGCTGGCCCTACTGGGCGACCTGTTGGAGTTGCGGCTTCCCCTTCTGCCGGTAGTTCTGCCCCGGCTGTGCGTGCTCCTCTGCCGGTGGCGTCTTGCCTCGCTGGCCTTGGTCTCAGTGCTGGCCCTGCTGGGTGTTCTCCCCTTGCTTCGGACCCGGGACTTGCTGCTGGGCTGGTTGGAAGGTGTCCTGGTACTTGTGGATCGGGTGGACTTGGAACTGCTTGGGCTCGTGACCGAGTTGGGGGCTGTTGATGGCTTGGTAGGCACTGAGGAGGTGTTGGGCGTTGTTGGTAAGGTGGTCTTCAAGGAGTCAGGAGGCTTGGGAGATGTGGCGGGCTTGGAAGGTCCGGTGGATGCTGGAGGCATGCTGGGCTTTGAGGATCTCGCAGGTGGAGAAGGCATGGTAGGCGCGAAAGGGCTGTGGTCCTGGGAGTTACAGTGGACATGAAAGACCTGGTAGCTGTGGACAATGACCTGATTGCCTTTCACAGGCCAACTGGGTGAAGTCATAGTGGGCATGGAAGACCCTGCAGGACAGGTGGTGTGAAGTCAGAGGTGGGAGGAGAGAGCAGGGAGGGGCCCAGGACTGGGACTGTTTACTCTGGGTTTTGCATCCATTCAGCAAGTGTCTCCTGAGACTGACTCCTGCTCAGCCTTGCTGGGGACATGGAGCTAGGTCAGACCCCGGTCCTGCCTTCAAGGAGTCTCTCGTCTGCTGGGGAAGACAGGCAGACAGTCACTGCCCAGGGCAGTCAGGGTGTGATAGAGGGTGGCACAGGGCCAGGAGCAGAAGTTTGCCTGGAGAGGAGGGGAGGGGCGCTTCAGGCAGAGAACAGCAGAGGCAAAGGCCTGGAGGAGGGAGAGCAGGGCCTTGGGGTTACCTTTGTCCATCCGACCCCCGCATCCTTTGCTGGGCAGGGTCGGGGGGGACCCCATACCCCAGCCTCCAAGATGATCAGGGCAGTGATGGGGGAGGTCCTTGGGGAAGTGGGGAGGACACCTCTGCCTGGGAGCCCGGGGAGGGGGGCAGGCATCAGGGATGGTGGCTTCACAGAGGACGGAGCCTGTGCTGGGTTCTGAAGGATGAGTAGGAGGTTGCCAGGTAGACAGAGCGGGGAACAACAATCCAGGCAGAGGGGCCAGCCTATGCCAGAGCCTCAGGAAACATTTGTTAAATCGCAGGGAGGCAGGTGGACAGAGGCAGGAGCAAGTAAGAGACAGAGAGAGCTGCAGGGAGGGGCGTGCAGCCATTTATCACCCATCCTGGGCTGGGCGATGAGTCAGAGCAGGCCTGCCCTCCTGGTCTGGTGGGGGAAAGACCTGGACGCAGATGGCCACAGCCCTGGGTCTGGAATGTCTGACAGCCTGGGATGAGGAGGGAGGCCTCATACTGGGTCCCGAAGGATGATGGGGAAGCTAGGAGAGGACATTCTCAGCAGAGGGAACAGCACACATGAGGGCCTTAGGAAAGGCCTGTTGGGTTGAATGCAGAGCTGTCCATTCCACAGATATGTATTCAGCACTGTGTTTGTGACAGGCACTGGTCTAGATGCTGGGGACACAGCAGTGAAGCAGACAAAGTCCCTGCTCTCGGGGACAGGCAGTGAACACACACACAAGTAAATGTCATATACAGTGAACCAGAGATGAGGAGAAAAATAAAGCAGTCAGGTGTGTAGGGAGGGGTTCCTGGTTAGACAGGCTGGCCAGGGTGTCTCAGAAGGTGGAGGGAGGGAGCTTTGGTCCGTTGGCAGAGAGGGAGGCACAGGCTCTGAGGTGGCGGGTGCATGGTGAACAGTGAGGCACTCAGTGGCTGAGGTGAGGTCAGAGAGGTGGTCCCTGCAGCCTGTGGCCCCTGTGATGATGTGAGTGAGGCGGAGCAGAGGGTGCCCTGGCTGGCTGTGTTTTACCAGGATCCCTCTGGGCTGCTGGAGGAAAGAGATGGGAGGAGGGTCCAGGAGGGACACAGGAAAAGGCTGTTTCTGTCCTAAAGAGATGCTTTGGATACTTTCCTGCCACCACGGCTGAAGAAGCCAGTATTTTCCCACACTGCAGCTGTAGACCCCCGATCATCACCTTGTGTGCGCACTTCCCATAGTGACTGCTTGATGTCCTTGTTCCCATAAATTGATTTTAAATCTTTCCCAATTTATTTTTGACCTAAACTTGTCCTAGGCAATAAGACCCATGTAATCACAGTAACGCATGTATGTATAAAACCAAAAACCCCGTGCCGTCGAATCGATTCTGACTCATAACGACCCTATAGGGTTTCCAAGGAGCGGATTCAAGCCGCCAACTCCTTGGTTAGCAGCCAAATGCTTAACCACTGTGCCACCAGGGCTCCTTCATATGTATGTAAAGATATCCTAAAGGAGCCCTGGTGGTGCACTGGTTAAGTGCTCAGCTGCTAACTGAAAGGTCAGTGGTTCAAATCCACCAGCCACTCCACAGGAGAAAGATGTGGCAATCTGCTCCCATAAAGATTTACAGCCTTGGAGACCCTACAGGGCAGTTCTGCTCTGTCCTGTAGAGTAACTATGAGTCAGAATCAACTTGATGGCCATGCGTATAGGTGTATCTAGTCAGGGCAGTGGTGGTTCAGTGGTAGACTTCTTGCCTTCTATGCAGGAGACCCAGGTTCAATTCCTGGCCAGGGCACCTCATGTGCAGCCACCACCCGTCTTGTCAGTGGAGGCCTGTGTGTTGCTGTGGTGCTGAACAGACTAAGCGGAGCTTCCAGACTAAGATGGAGTAGGAAGAAAGGCCTGGTGACCTGCTTCCAAAAATCAGCCAGTGAAAACCCTATGGATCACAACAGTCTGATTCACAACCGATCGTGGGAATAGTTTAGGACCAGGCAGCGTTTCATTTCATCGTGCGTGGGGTCACCGTGAGTCCGGGCCCACCTGATGGCAAGTAACAACAATAGGTAGCCATAAAACCTGTTGTCGTTGACTTGGTTCTGACTCACGGTGACCCCACGTGTTACAGAGGAGAACTGCTGCATAGTGTTTTCTTGGCTGTCACCTTTACAGGAGCAGATCTCCAGGCCTTTCTTCCATGGTACTGCTGGGTGAGTTTGTATCACCAACCTTAGGTTAGTCAAGTGCAAACCGTTTTTGCCACCTAGAGACCTTGTAAATAAATATCTTGATTCACTTAACATATATCAAAAAATATATATAGTCACTTCTTGTTATTCGTGGTAGTTATGTTTTATAAGGAGTCCCTGAGTGGTGCAAACAGTTAACACACTCGGCTGCTAACCAAAAGGTTGGAGGTTCGAGTTCACCCAGAGGGGCCTTGGAAATAAGACCTGGCGATCTACTTCCAAGAAATCAGCCACTGAAAACCCTATGGAGCACAGTTGTACTCTGACATATGAGGTCGCCACGAATTGGAGTTGACTCTATGGCAACTGGTTTTATGTTTTATAAAGTCTCTGCAGACACTGAATTAGGAAATACTGAACTGTTGCTTCTAGGGGAAATACAAGGTTAGGTTCCTGTGAGCCTCTGGTCACAGGATTTCCATCAGCTGATCAATGCATACCCTTGTTTTATTTTTTTAAATTTATTTAATGCATATGGTTGATTCATTAACATTGAACTCACATCCAGTAGTCCTATACTCATGCCTAAATGAAGCTTATTTAACATACGTATTTCCTCCAGAAGGCACATCACAGCCTTCTTGCCCTTAGGAGCACCACACAGCACTTCAGCGCTGTGCTTGGGGGCCGTTTTAAACTGAAATCATCCAAAAAAGACAAACATGCAAAAAACATGGACTAAATAGACTGCGGAAAGAACGCTTGTTTACAGGATGAGAGCGGAAACAAAAAGGCAGAGTGGTACCTGTTTGACCTCAGCTGGGAACATGCTGGTCAGGCAGCTCAGATTTTTTGCCATTCTGCGCATGTCCGCAAATAACCGCAAAAGCACCATGAGTATTCACTTTGGGGTTATAAAGAAATCTTAGCCAGGAAGCAAATTTGCAAATATGGAATCCGTGAATAATGAGGCTTGCATGTATACGTATGTGTGTTTCAGTTTGCTAAAATATCTGTTCAAATAGTCGAGTGTTCACCTCCCTAAAATGGTTCAGCGTAGGCCCTTGCCCACATGTAGTATTCCCTGGTAGAACTGTAGAACTGAGCAACCTAACTGCCCTGTGCCTCAGTTTCCCCATTCGTCAGTTGGGCATAATGATAGGGTCTCCCTCAAAGGCTCGTTGTGAAGACTTAAGTGAGTTACCATATATAAACCCACTGCCGTCGAGTCAGTTCCAACTGATAGTGGCCCTGTAGGGCAGAGTAGAACTGCCCTGTAGAGTTTCCAAGGCTGTGATCTTTACGGAAGCAGGCTGCCACATCTTCCTCCTGCAGAGCGGTTCAAACCGCAGACCTTTTGGTTCGTGGCCGAGCACTTTAACCACTCTGCCACTAGGGCTCTAAAGGACTTAGAAAAGGACTTTTATTCAGAAAAACCTGTGAAAGCTGGAACCTGTGTAAGGCAGAAACCTGTCAGAGAAGGAAAACTCAAATTTTATTTTCGACTAATAGGGAGTGATAGAAAAGTGGTAAGACTGCACCTTGTCAGGGCGAAAACCGTGAGACCCGGGAACACAAGGCGGCCTGGTTCTGGCTCCCACAGGTTTCACTGTATTGTTATTGCTGTTGTTGTTTTTACTGCTGCCACTACTATTTCTTTGTTGTTCTTAAACCACGGAGGTGCAATTCACACAAGACATTCATTTGTCAGACACACAGATACTGAGTGTGTACTGTGTACCAGGCCTGTTGTATACACTGGGCATTCTGTGGGGAGGGGAAGGGTGGTTGCTGGGCCTGTCCATACTGTGGTGAGTCTGAATGGGGCTTAGGGAGGGGACAGCTGGGCACTGCCTTCTGTCTTCTGACATCGCTGTCTTTCCCCATCTGTCTGCTCTGCAGGTCCTGAGCATTCCTCTGACTCCGAGTACACTCTCTCAGAGCCGGACTCCGAAGAGGAAGAAGATGAAGAGGAGGAGGAAGAGGAGACCACTGACGATCCCGAATATGACCCCGGCTACAAGGTGAAGCAGCGCCTGGGGGGCGGCCGGGGTGGCCCGTCCCGCCGGGCCCCACGTGCAGCCCAGCCCCCGGGCCCCCAGGCCCAGCCCTGCCAGCTCTGTGGCCGCCCACCCCTTGGGGAGGCCCCACCAGGCACCCCACCTTGCCGGCTCTGCTGCCCCGCTACAGCCCCCCAGGAAGCACCAGCCCCTGAAGGCAGGGCCCTCGGGGAGGAAGAGGAAGAGCCGCCTCGGGCTGGGGAGTGCCGAGCAGCTGGGAGGGAGGAGGAGGAAGAGGAGGAGGAGGAGGGCTCCTACCAGTGTACAGAGTGCGAGGATTCCTTTGACAATCTTGGGGAGCTGCATGGCCACTTCATGCTGCATGCCCGGGGTGAGGTGTAGGCAGAGCCCCCTGCCCAGGGCGCTTGGCAGAAGGGGCGGGATGGGAGGAGGGGGCTGGGGAAATGGGGATGGCCACAGTGGTCATGCGGGATGGGGTACCGCCTATCTGTGTCGTCTTAGCAGTAGATGTGTGAAGGCCAGAATAAAAGCCAAATTCTGTGGGTGTCAGTCCAGCGTGTGTTTGGTGTGTGGGCATGTGTGCACAGGCATGGCCTGGGTATTTATCCCACCATCCCCCGGGCTCCTGCCTCGGGAACCTGAAGGTCATCATTGCCAAAATAACATTTACTGAACGCTCGTGTTCATTGTGATTTCTGTGGATTTACTCATAGAAGCTTGGCGCCTGTACCAGTTAGGTAGGCCCACGGCAGTAACAAGTAGACCCTAAAATGTAAACACTCAGACACAACACAAGTTTGTCTTCACACGCACAGTACTCCAGGGCGGGTATCACAGGCTGCACAGCAGCGCTCCTTGAGGCCTGCGGTCACCCACGCAGTCGAGGCTGGGTGGCCACCGTCCGGGTCCTGCTGGCTGAAGGGGAAGGACCGTGGAGGGAACATAGGGTTTCTCACAAGCCCCAGCTCTGAAGTGGCACATGTCGCTTCCATTTCCATTCCTTTGCTGAGCAATTATTCATATGGCCACAGCTAACTGCAAGGGTTCAAGGGAGCCTAGGCAAGGCAGTGTAGCCAAGTGTCCAGAAGTAGAAAACAGTTTTGGACTACAGCTCGGGCTTTCTGCCATGTTGCCTAAGAATCTTCACAAAGAGGACTTTAATTATAATTATAGCTACATTTACCAAGGGCTTCCTGGGTGCCAAGTGCTGGGCCAAGTACTTTACATATATATATATATATATTTATATATTGACTCGGAGAAGATGTGCATCTAGGAACTCACAAAAATAGAACCTTAATTATAATTATAGCTACCGCTTTCCCAGCGTGCTTTATTTCTGTGAGATCATCAAGTCCTTAGAATAACTTCAAGAGGTAGAGACTGTGATTCGTTGATTCACTTAACACATAATTTTGTGAGTGCCTGCTGTGTGCTAAGCACTGGGCAGATAATGGTGAATAAAAGAAAATTCTTGTCCTAAAGGAGTTTACATGGGGGGCAGAGGGGGCACTGGTGGAGACAGACCACAAACAAGTAAGCTGTAGCATATGATGGATGGTGCCCACAGCTGGGGAGAGAAGGGAGAACAGAGTGCTGGAAGGCATTGCAATTTTAAATAGTGTAGTCCTCCCTGAGGTCCCTGGGTGGCGCAAATGGTTTCCTTGTGGCTACAAACTGAAAAGTTGATGGTTTGAATCCACCCAGTGGTGCCACAGAAGAAAGGTCTGGTGATCTACTTCCATAGGATGAAAGCCCTTTGGAGTACAGTTCTCCTCTGAAGCACATGGGATCACCATCTACTCGATGGCAACAGGTTTTTGTCCTCCCTGAGGAGGTGACATTTGAGGAGAGACCTGAAGGAGGTAAGGGAGGGAGCCGTGCAGGTCTGTGGGGAAGAATGTTCCAGGCAGGAGGAGGCAGGAGCCTGCCCAGTGTGCCAAGGAGGCCAGAGGGGCTGGAGAGGAGAGCTGGAGAGATGAGGTCAGAGAGTGGTAGAGGGTCAGTTCCTTACAGCCTAGTCAAAACTTTGGTTCTCGTTCTGCGGTGGGAAGTACTAATTCACAGAAGCTTGGCACGGAAACTCATTTGAAAATAGAAGCTGAACTATAACGGTAGCTACCATCTACCGAGCATTCTCCGTGTGCCAAGCCCTGTTCTAAGGTGCTTTATGTGTGTTAACTCACAGAAGCTTGGCAGCTAAGAATCTTCACAAGAATAGAACCCAAGCTATTGTAATGGCCGTCACTAAGTCATTGCCTCACAGCGGACCGGGCCCTGGGCTAAGCACTTTATATGGACAGTTGCATCAGATCATTATGAGGTAAAAACCAAAAACCAAACCTGTTGCCATCGAGCCGATTCCAACACATAGCGACCCGATAGGACAGCGTACAACTGCCTCATAGGATTTCCAAGGAGCACCTGGTGGATTTGAACTGCCAACCTTTTGGTTAGCAGCCAGACTCTTAACTTCTGTGCCACCAGGGCTCCATTATGAGGTAGGGACTGTTATTTATTTACTCATTCATCCAACAATTTACTGAGCACCTACTAGATGGCAGGCGCCGTTCTGGGAGCTGGGGATACAGCAGTGAACAAAATCCCTGCCTTTGTGGCAGTTATATTTTAACGGGGAAGACAGAGTAATCACTATAATTGTCAAAAAAATAAATGTACAAAATGTATAGAATGTTAGAAGGTAGTAATTGCTGTGGAGAAAAAGCAGGGAAGGGGGATAGGGAGGGTTGTGTGTGTGTGAAGGTTGCAACTTTAAACAGGGTGGTCAGGGAAGATGCCGCTGAGAAGGTGACATCAGAGCAGACAGCTGGGGAAGGAGGAGTGAGCCCTGTGGCTGTCTGAGGGAACAGCAAGTGCAAAGGCCCTGCGGTGGAAGCCTGCTTGGAATGTTTACAGAACAGCACGCGGGCCCATGAGACTGGACCTGAGGGAGGCAGGGGGAAGGGTGATGGGAGGCGAGGTTAGAGAGGGGCCAGAGGCAGGCCATTATACCGTGTTTGTGAGATAGGAAGTAGTAACTCATAAAAGCTTGGCCCCTATGAAATTGGAATCCATTTCCTGAGGGCTTTCAGTGTGCTAGCCCTGTGCTGACTGTAATATGGACATAGTTTAAACCCATTGCTGTCAAATCGACTCCAACTCATAGCAACCCTATAGGACAGAGTAGAACTGCCCCTTAGGGTTTCCAAGGGGTGGCTGGTAGATTCGAACTGCCAACCTTTTGGTTAGCAGCCATAGCTCTTAACCACTATGCCACCAGGGCTCTGTCTTTGAGACGAAGGGGCTCTTAGGCCTGTTTTATGACTGCTGTGAGTGGGGCACAAAGAGGCTGAGTTACTTGCCAGAGGCCACACAGCTAGTAAGAAGCTGAGCCCAGGTTTGAACTCAGACAACTGGATGCAGGATGTACATTCTTAGCCACTAAGCCACAGACCAGAGATGGCAGTATAGTTGCCCACAGCCACCATCTGACTTGCAGGGGTATATTTGGTCTCCATGGAGTTATTGAGGTTTTTTAAATTACATTGGTTACCAACTGTCTTAGTCATGTAGTACTGCTCTAACAGAAATACCACGAGTGGATGGTTTTAACAAAGAGAAGTTTATTCTCTCACAGTCCAATAGGCTACAAGTCCAAATTCATGGCGTCAGCTCCAGGGGAACGCTTTCTCCATTGGCTCTGGAGGAAGGTCCATGTCATCAATCTTCCCTTGGTCTGGGAGCCTCTCTGCGCAGGAACCTCCCAGCACTGCTTTCTTGGTGGTATGAGGTTCCCAACTCTTTTGCTTGCTTCCCTTTCCTTTTATCTCTTGAGAAATGAAAGGTGGTGCAGGCCACACCCCAGGGAGACTCCCTTTACGTTGGATCAGGGATGTGACCTGGGTAAAGGTGGTGTTACAGTCCCACCCTAATCCTCTTTAACTTAAAAATTACAATCACAAAACGGAGGACAGCTACGTAATACTGGGAATCATGGCCTAGCAAAATTGATACACACATTTTTGGGGGGACGTAATTCAATCCATGACACCAACATTTAAAAATAGGCAGATGTCACATGAAAATGCCAGTTTCTGGTTTCTCTTGAAAAATTGTAAGATCTAGATTGCTGAACCCACAATCCTGTGGGCAGTAGTTTGTGAGAACTGAGTAGGGGTCACCTCTTACTTTGAGACGGGGCATTCACTCCTGTTTGCCACAGTTTGCATCATTCCCCACTGTCTCATACCTGGACCCCTTAGATCTGCCTGCTTCACTAATTTATGGTAGCTGCTTGGCCTAGAAGAACATTTCATTTTTGACCTGTTACAGGATCTTAGGCTACAGCATCTTTCAAAAACCACACTTCTCATCCTAGAAGCACTGAATTTCTCCTCTTTCTGCCTTCCATTCTGTCTGTGCCTCTCATGGGCAGGACTTCAGGAAGCCAGCTCTCAAGGGCATCTGGGAGAGTTTGCAGAGAGCTCTCAGCATCACGGACCAGTGTGGAGGGGTGTCCATGAGGCTGAGGGGCACTAGGTGAACAGTGGGCACAGTCAGTGGGCACTTTTTGAGCCTCCTTGCTAAGCTCTTTCCTAGGTGCTGGGCAGGAAGCAGTGAGGGAAACAACTCTCCCTTGCCCTCAGGAGCTTGGATTCCAGTGTAAGGCCACAGATAATCAATAAACAAAAGTGTGATAATTCCAGGTGCTGAAGGGTGCTAGGAAGAAAATAAATCAGGGTGAGGGTTAGGAGGCAGAGTTCTGAGGTAAGAGCACTTCAGGCAGCAGGAACAGCAAGTGCAAAGGCCCTGGGGCAGGAGCCAACCTGACATGTGTGGCTGGACTCTAGTCAAAGAGGTTGAGCAGGGAGGGAGGCTCATGAGGTTGCTCAGTGGGTTGAGACTTGATCACATCGTTGGGTTCAGTGGACCTCAGGAGCATCTTTGGGTTTTATTTATGGGATGCCATGGGAGGGTTTTAAATGGAGAAGTGATGTAAGCTGACTTACATATACACAAGGGTGGTCTGTGATGGAGAGACTGGAGGGGGGCAGTAGTGGTGGCAGAGGTAGCAATTAGGTGACTTGGGCTACAGCTGGGTGAGAAGTAGCCAGATTCAGGAATTCAGAAGTAGAGCGCACAGGTTTATTAATATGATGGAAGTAGTGGTGAGGGCTGGGGTCTGCAAGAGTCACATTTACCAATTTTAAGTTTGAGGTTCCCATTCATCATCCAGGCGACTGGAGCTCAGGGCAGAAGTCTGGTGTTTGGACTGAGATAAAGATTTTGAAGTCACCAGTGATGCTGTTTCATGTTCTGGGACTCTGTGACATCCGGGGAGTGTAGAGAGAGGACAGGAAGCCCAGAGTATACTGGGCAGATTGCTGTCTATCTCAGGACAGCATGCTGGGTTAGATCCTTAGGCTTGTCACTGGGGGAGTTTCTCGGGGGGTGGTGTGAAGACATCTGCGTTGGAATCTTCTGAGCTTTCACCAGGCGCCAGAGGAAATATTTGTTTTTGCTGAAGTTGATGTCTCAGAAAAAAGTAATGGCCAACTGAGTCCAAGCCAGTTTGTTTCTAGGTCACTCCAGCAATGAGGCCCACGCTAGCTCTGCCCCAAATCCTACAGCAGTAACAACAAAACGCACACATACACATACTCTGCTAGAGCTAGTATTTTCCAGAACAGGGATTCTAGACTTAGAGTAGGTTTTATGCCTATCAGGTAGGCAAGAGGTCCGCAAACATTCTATAAGAGGTCCGATGGTAACTATTTTAGGCTTTGTGGGCCATATGGTCGGTCAGCCACTCAACTCTGCTGCTGTGTGTGAAAGTATCCATACATATGTGAAGGAGTATGACTGTGTTCCAGTAAAACTATATTTACAAAACCCAGCACCAGGCTGGATTTGGCTGTAGTTTACAGACCCCTGCCTTAGGCTATAAATTCTGGTGCATGTGACAGAGACCCAAAATAACGATGGCTCAGAACAAGATAAAAAAGAGCCCTGGTGGTGCAGTGGTTAAGTGCTCAGCTGCTAACCAAAAGCCCGGCATTTTGAACCCACCAGCTGCTAACCGAAAGGTCAGGAGAAAGTGTGGCAGTCTGCTTCTGTAAAGATTTACAGCCTTGGAAACCCTATGGGGCAGTTCCTCTTGGTCCTATAGAGTCGCTATGAGTTGGAATTGACTTGATGGCAACGAGTTTTTTTAAAACAAGACAGAGGTTTATTTTTCTCTTACGTAACAACTTGGAAGCGGATGTTCTAGGGTTAGTATGGCGACTCTGAGCTACAAAGTCAACCAGTGACCCCAACTTCTGCCTTCTTGTTGCTCTGCTCTTACCGCATGCTGCTGTCATCCTCATGGTCCAAGATGGCTGCGTCTCTATTCACATTCCAGGCAGGAAGGTGGAGGAAAACAAACAAAAAAAAAAACCAAACCCGTTGCCGTCGAGTTGATTCCGACTCATAGCGACCCTACAGGACAGAGTAGAACTGCCCCATACGGTTTCCAAGGAGCGCCTGGTGGATTCAAACTGCCAACCTTTCGGTTAGCAGCCGGAGCTGTTAACCACTACGCCACCAGGGTTTCCAAGGTGGAGGAAGGGCATGTCTTTTCCTGAAGCTTAAGGACACTCCCCAGAAATTATATGTAACCACACCCTATATCCTATTAGCCAGAACTCAGTATGGCCACATGTAGCTTCAAGCGGATCTGGGAAATGCGGTCCTTTTAGCCACATGTGCCTAGCCAAAACTGGGGAGACAGATATCAGTTTGTGCCACATCCATCTCTCCTATGAGCTTTCAAACATCTCTCAACTCAAAATAGACATTTAGGGCTTCTACCACTGTCTCCAGGGGTGGGACAGGTAGTGTGAGGGGTAAACTGATAGGGTGGGGCTCATCTCCAGGCTCCAGGTGACACCCACTACTCAGCTCCAGCCTGTTGTAGCACCTGCCTTGCCCCTGCAGACACTGTCAGCCCAGGGTTGCGCCTTTCAAGGGAGTTGCAAATAGGATCTTAACAGCTTCCAATGTTGGCCAAATAAAACAGGAAACAGACGGTATCTCTGTTGGATTCCAAACCAGCTTCCCCACAGGGCTAGGCCAGCTCTGCCCTGAAGCGACGCCTCCCCTTCTTACAGTCTCTGGAATTCCTGCCTAAAAGCTGGATCTCCCTGCGTAAATGCTTTAATATAGATCTTCTCTGCTTTTTGATGCTATTTTGTTAGTTTATTCATGCCGTCTTGCCTACATGTCTGAAAAATATCCCATCACTGGAATGGTACACAAATTATTTAAATGGGGCATAAATTATCAGAAGGGCCACCGCCATCCAATGTGGCAGTCCCTCCTTGAGTGAGGAAGGCTGGCAGGGAGGGGGCAGAGAAAAGGACTCAGACTGTAACCCCCATGTGGCGGCAGGGCCCAGCTCCCATCTTTGCCACCCCATCTCCAAGGACCAAAGTTGCTCGGCGTCGGGGACCAGGTGGCATCACAGGCCTGCAACATCTCGCCTTCCCTGCCCCCCACTCAGGCACAAATCCAGGCAGTTTGCTCCTACAGTCCATGGTGGCCATCCGGGAAGAATTAACGGTGATTACACAATCTGCAGCTCACTGGGATTTCAAACTGTTTAATTGGAAATAAGGGTGATACAAATGACATCTTTCCTCTCTTGTCTCGCTCACTTTTTTTAAACAAAAGATCTCCCTGTTGTCTGATTTCACTGTTTTCTCTGAAAGTTTTTGTGTCTTTCAAAGCCTGAAGCCCCAAATGAGAATCTTCCAGGGTTTGTTTATCAGGAGCCCTTTGCTATTCCGGGCAGGGAAGCAAATCCCTCTGAGACCCCCAGAGGACCTGCACCCCATGTCATGGGTGGGTCCTCGCAGCCACAGAGCTCCTGTTGCCCTGCACAAGGTGAAGCCACGCTCAGAGCTCCCCACGGGCATGCCGGATGTAGTGCTGGTGCAGCCCAGCTTCCTGGGCAAAGTCCTGACCACACTCAGTGCAGGCGAAGGGGCCTGGAGCCGTGCGGGCCTCGTGTACCTGGCGGTGCCGCCTCAGAGAAGCAGCCTGCCCAAACGTTTTGCCACAGTCAGGACAAGGGAAGGTGGGCTGGGCAGTGGTGGGTGCAGCCGGCGGGGGGGGCCTGGGGCCTGGACCATGGCTGCGCTGGTGGGCAATGAGGGCCTTGGAGGAGGGGAAGGAGCGGGCGCAGGTGAAGCAGATGAAAAGGGCCCCCTGCAGCTTCTGGGCCACGAAGTCCGCTGGGTGCTCCCGCTTCATGTGACGCTCCTGGAACTTGGAATTGGCGAAGGTGATGAGGCAGCGGGTGCACTGCGGGGCCCCCAGGTGGCCTGAGGGACGTGGGGAGAGGTCGGGGGAGGCCAGCAGGAATTTCCAGGACCTCTCCCAAGCCTCAGAATCATGCCAACAATTAACATTGCATGCTTACTATGTGCCAAGCTCTATGCCAGTGCTGGGCAGGGGTACAGGCAAACTGTTACTGGACCTATTTTATGAATGCGTAGACTGAGACTCAAAGAGGTTAGGGAATGTGCCCACGGTCATGAGGCTAGGGAATGAAATGGTGGGGCCAGGATTGGAACCCAGAGAGCGTGCCGGTCTGACGGACCAGTGTGGTGATTACAGCACAACCTCTGTAGTCAGACTGGGATTGAATCCTGGCTCCCCCACTTCACTGGCAAGTACAACAGATTCCCCATCTGGAAAATGAGGTGAGAACAGTATCAACCTCACAGGGTTGCTGGAAGGAATACATGAGTTAATTTATATAAAGGGCTTAGAACAGTGTCTGAGAAGTACATACTAAGTGCTCTAGAGTGGTCTGCAATTATAACTACTGAGAAAGAAAAGCAGTCCAACATCTGGGAGCCTGGCACTCAACTAAGTCTTGGTGTTCTCCTGTTGAACACAATCTCACAGAATATCAACATCAGATGAGGCCATGCTGTGACTGGGATGAATCAAGACAAGACCACGCCATAATCATGCCTGAACATGGACAAAACGTGAATGTTGTCCAAAACCACAAAAACGACCAAACACCCCCTACGTTGGCTAATACGAGGGATTGTTGCTGGCTGCTTCTTTATCAATCACAGGTTGAACCTCGCTTTGTTCCTCCCTCCTTCTAGATAAGATTTATTAACATAGAATCATAGAATCGCCCCTGCTTCCCAGCAGCCTTCAATCCAGAGCAAAGCCCAGCTTCCTTGAACCCTCCCCAGAGTGGCTTAAGACAAGGCCAAATCCTGTAAGTCCTTTCTGACACCCTCTTACTGAGAAGCTCCACGGTTCCCCCGTGGTGTGCATTTTCCCTCGTGGCAGTGAGCATTAAACCTAACTTGTTTTAACTACAGGTGTGGTCTTTGGCTGGAGGGCATTGATCTACCACTACTCTCTACTAATATTTAACCTCGCTCGGCCTCAGTTCCCTCATCTTACAGCGATAATACCAATTTCATAAGGTCTGTCAGGAGGACCGAATGAGATAATGAATGTTAAATTCTGAAATGCTGCCTGGCGCATAATAAGCGTTTGGTAGCTGTTGATATTATATGCCAAACTGGCTACGTTCTTTAACGTTGAGTTTTCCCCTTTTCTGCAGCTAATCTCTACAACAGCCCTGTGAGGCGGCAGCCCGTTTTGACAGACAAGGAAACAGGCCCAAGCCACACTACAAGTCCTGGGCAGAGGTGGGACTGGAACATCAGGCCTCCTCTCAGTCTCTGCCCTTTTCCTGGCCACATCTCCCACCCCAAGCCTCTCCTGGATGTCATCCTGTCCCTCGGAACTGCATCCCATTCCTGCCTATGCGGCCAGAGCAGAATGGGTGCACCTGAGGGTAGTAAGGAGAGGCGGCTCCCAGTAGGACAGCTGGGGCCATAACAGCCCCTTAGCAATGGGCAAGCCTTGGACACTGAAAAGCTATATAGATCCTTTCAGCATCAGCTCGGGCACTCCACCCTCCTCTGGCCACCAGTACTCACAGATGTCGCCTCCCGCGCTGCGGGGACTCCTCTCCTTGGGCGAGTTCTGCTCCTCCATGGTCTGTTTGGGGTGCAGGTCCTCCATAGTGACCGGAACCCTTCTACTCAAGAGAGGAGCATGCATGATGAATAGGAAATCAACTAAGTCTGCTCATCTGTCACCAGCCGCGGAGGACCCGCTAGTCCTATAATCTTTGACTTTGACAGTGGCTCTCCTTGCCAACCTTTGACTCTCAGGAGGTGCAATTTCCTTAAACTCTTAACCTCATGGAGCTCTCATAGAGAAGCTTCGAACCTACTAAAAGATTCGACACCCCGGGTGTGTGATTCCTCTAGACCCTTCTCACCGTTGTGCCTAGGGCCTTCTGCATCAAACTAACTCCTTGAACTCAGCGTGGAACTCTTGATTTCTGACACCAGCAGGTCTCCCTCACCCGCGTCTCTCCCGTGCGTCTTAGGGCCGGTACTGCTACCTGAACTTTGGTCCCACCCTTTATCCCGCCGCTTCTCGACAGACATCCCTCTGGTATCCTGTGCCCCTCCTTCCTCCCAGAGCCCCACGCCTCCGCCTCCCACGCGCGCTTTTCCCCGCTCAATGTCCAGGTGCCCCACGCACTATCTCGGCTCCCCCTCCCAAGTCCAGTAGCCCAGGCCTCTGCTTTTCTCCGTGCAGCAGAGGGCTGCCTTTCGCTGCGCCTGTTAGTTGCTCGCCACAAGGCCGCCACCTGGAGGGAAGCGGGGTAGGGCCCACCGATTCTCCTGGTCCCCGTGGTTTCCGCGCCCTTCCGCCGGCTAAGCCTCTGGAAGCCAAGATTCCGGACTGCCATCCGGCAGTGGTGCAGTCGCACCAACCCGGTCCTCAAAATAACGGGAGGGGTCCTTCTCTGCATTGGGGTCTATTATGATGACGTTAGAGGCCACCCGTACCATACAAACGTAAGCATATTACGTAAAGTTGGGTAGGTGCGCAGGCGCCTTGGAGCACACATTGTTCTAGGCCCCCAGGCAATCGGAGGTTGGAAGCGAGCGCACTTCGGCTGTTCTGCGCAGGCGCTGCGAGGGGCTGTGTTTCGGAGGTTACGCTTTCAAGACACACCCACATCTAGAGCGAGTGACGTCAGGCTAGAACCCCCAGAACGGGTCCAGACGTTCCCAAATCAGGGCGCTCTGACCTCTTCGGCCTCCGTCCGCCGGACCCCAGGGGCGGGGCTTCTCAGCGACTGACACAGCCGCGACGAACTGCGCTCGCCAGTGCTATCGGCTGTTTGCTTGGTTGGTGATTTGGAAGTTCTCCGGGAAGTGGGGGCGGGGAGGATAAAACACCTTTGTCTCCGAAGGATAAGGGGTTGGAGGTCTAGATTTCTGAGTTTTTTCAATCAGAAAGGGAAACGCTTGCGTTCAGAGAGAAGGCGCACAGGATGCCTCGGTCCCTGGGGAATAGAGCCTGTGAGCCGGATTTCTAGGTGCTGGGGAGTGACGCCCGGCATGGGAGAAGGGATGGGGTGGAGGACTAAATTCTGGGTTCAGTATGGGTGGCTAGGAAAGAAAAAGGTTGGGAGTCCCTGACCCGAGTCTTCCCCATCCCTTGCTTTGCAGCCATGCCTCCGCCGTGCGGTGACGTGACTGCCTTGTTCCTGGGGCCCCCAGGCTCGGGCAAGTCCGCGTTGATCTCAGCGCTGTGCGACAAGGATGTGGAGACGTTGGAGTCCCTCGAGGATCGGCCGGACTCTGGGGTCCCCAGCTTGCGGGCTGCGGGTCCAGGCCTCTTTCTGGGCGAGCTGAGCTGCCCACCTGCAGCGCCGGGGCCCTGGGCGGCGGAGGCTAACGTGCTGGTACTGGTGTTGCCTGGACCCGAGAGGAACGGGGAGAGCTTGGCCCCAGCGCTGGGGGAGGCAGCGCGGGCCGCCCTGGCCCGAGGGACGCCGCTGCTGGCGGTGCGAACCCTCAGTCCCATGGATTCACAGAATGAAGCCCAAGCCAGGGATCAGACAGCGACTCTGCTGGACAGCGCCGGGTTAGGAGCCGCTGCTCTCTTCGTGTTACCAGCGGACTGCAGCGGCAGTGACGGCGACGAGGAGCTACAGCGCCTGCGGGCAGCTCTGCAGAGCCAGGCGGAAGCGCTGCAGAGGTGAGCGCCTTGTTGGAGAGTGGGATGGGGAGGACTGGTCCCTTAGTCTAGACTCCGCCTCTTAAGTGTTGTTTGAGGTCCTCGAGGCCCCGCCCCTAGCGTGTTTTTTGCAAGCTTTAAGCAGATACCTGCCAGAAGCCCGGCTCCGTCATCCGGGCCCAGCTCCTCAGCACAGATTTTTGAGGTCAGTGAGGCTCCACCCCCAGCGAGCGCTCTGGGCATTTCCCTTTTCTGTCATTTCGGTCCCGCCCCAGCCAAGAGTTCGCCGCAGTTTGTGACCTATCATCCAGGTCCCCGCCTCCTGCGAGAGCTGTGAGGTCCCACTCCCTAGCCAGAAGTCTAAGGAATTTGCCCAATTACTGCCCCCAACCAAAATTCTGAAGGAGAACTCACTCTGGTGACACAAGTTTGTGATCCCGCAAAGATTTTACCCGAAGACTCACCTGCAAGTCCTACCCCCCCACCCCCCATCAGCTTGGTCCTCAAGCGACCCCAGTTGCCATAAAGCCCCACCCTCAATGAGCTTTATTATTTCTCAGTGCCTTTCACTTCCCTTCTCCAACCTTCTCTAGTTTCTGTGCCCATTCGCTGAACCGTTGTTAGCTGCTGTCCAGTCGCCCCAACTCTTGGCGACCTTATGTATAACAGAAGGAACTGTTGCTTTGTCCTGCGCCATCCTCATGATCTTAGATATGTTTGAGTCCATTTTTGTGGGTCTACTTGCTAGCCACCTCTTGAATTTTCTCCCCCACGACCCAGCTGCCTCATTTTATAAGGTCGAAATGAGGCTCAGAGGGAGCAGCCTCTCGCCCAGGTCCACTGCTCATTTTCTAGCTCAGCCTCACCCGCCTCCTGTCTTCTTACCCACATCCCCTTGGTACGAGTTAGTAGATGAAGCCTCTCCTTTCTCTGGTCCTCCTTGCCCTCAGGAGAAAGAGCACCTTTGGGGACCTGATCCATATCAAATAGTGCTGACTTTTCATTTAGGCCACAACACAGTCTTGATTCTTTCTTTGTCCCAAGCCCCACCCTCTTGAGCTTTGCCTCGCCACTCACGATTCCTAGCCTTTTCTTAACTCGCAGACCTCCTCAGAAAAGCCCCGCTCCAAGGACTGTATGCTGGTATCCTGGGCTGTACTGCAAGTCTACCCTACCCGCCTCATCATCAGGTCCCGCCCTTGCTTGTAGACCCTCCCTTATCTCCATAGCCCCGCTCTACCTGGCTTCTATTTGTTTTAACGCCTGGTCAGTCTGGCTCCTCCCTTCTCTGGTCCCACGTCACTCCTGGTTTATTCGAAAAGCTCCGCACTCCTCCTCGTAGCTCGGTTCTTGTTCGCCTGGCCCAGCGCTCAGGCATCTGTATCTTCTTATACCTCTAACTCCATCCTTTCCTGCCTCCCCAGGCTCCTGCCACCAGCCCAGGATGGCTTTGAGGTGTTGGGTGCAGCTGAGCTGGAGGCTGTGCGCGAAGCCTTCGAGACAGGTGGCCTGGAGGCGGCGCTGTCTTGGGTGCGCGCGGGCCTGGAGCGCCTGGGCAGCGCGCGTCTGGACCTGGCCGTGGCAGGCACAGCCAACGTGGGCCTTGTGCTGGACCTGCTGCTTGGGTTGGATCCTGGCGACCCAGGTGCCGCCCCCGCTTCAGCACCCGTGGGGCCCACGCCTTACCCGGCCCCTGAGCGTCCCAATGTGGTTCTCTGGACCGTGCCTCTGGGCCCCCCAGGCGTTGCCGCTACCTGCCATCTAAGCCACTACGATGCTGTCATCCTCGTCACGTCTGGGGCTCCCACTGAGAAGGACTGGGCCCGGGTGCGGGCCTTGGTGCCTCCAGATGCACCGCTGGTCTGCGTGCGAACAGACGGCGAGGGTGAGGAACCAAAGTCTCTGGAAGAAGAGGAAATGGTGGAGAAGCCAAGCGGCGAGAGTTTAGAGAACGCAGACAGTGAGGGAAGGGAGAAATGTGGCACAGGGTCGCAGAAAACAGGCAGTGGGGAAGGATCAGAGAAAGCAGGCAACGACAGTTTGCAGCAGGTTGGCGCCAGCGCGAAGAAATCGGGCGGTGGGGATTCAGAGCGTGCGGTCGCGTTAAGCCCAGAGGAGGAGACGTGGGAGGTGTTGGAGGAGGCGCCGCCGCCAGTGTTCCCTCTGCGGCCGGGCGGACTCCCCGGGCTCTGCGAGTGGCTGCGGCGCACGCTACCCCCCGCGCAGGCTGGGGCGCTGCTGCTGGCGCTACCACCCATGTCTCCGAGGGCGGCCGTAACCAAGGCTGCGGCACTGCGGGCCGGGGCATGGCGGCCAGCTCTGCTGGCTAGCCTGGCAGCGGCGGCGGCACCTGTACCAGGGCTAGGCTGGGCGTGCGACGTGGCGCTTCTGCGGGGCCAGCTGTCGGAGTGGCGGCGAGCACTGGGGCTCGAACCCGCGGCATTGGCGCGACGTGAGCGCGCGCTGGGCCTGACTCCAGGGGAGCTGGCAGCGCGTGCGCACTTTCCTGGCCCTGTGACTCGTGCGGAGGTGGAGACGAGGCTGGGCGCGTGGGCGGGCGAGGGCACGGCCGGGGGCGCGGCGCTGGGCGCACTCTCCTTCTTGTGGCCCGCGGGCGGCGCAGCGGCGACTGGCGGCCTGGGCTACCGCGCGGCTCATGGCGTCCTACTACAGGCGCTCGAAGAGATGCAGGCCGACGCCCAGGCGGTGCTGGCACTTCCTGCGCCCGCCCAATAAGGAGTGGGTAGGCACCGGGGCTTCCGGGGTGCCCAGCCGAGGTTGAGGACCCTGAGTCCTGGTTAGAGAGGAGGGGGCTTGGAGGTCCAGACTCCGGGGTGGGATATCTGGGCCTCCGAGATAGCAGAGCAGTGACAGCCACCCAGAAGCCTGGGTGCTTGGAGGGGATGAGTTTCAGACTTGATTGGGATATGTTACTTCAAGTCATCAAATTCCTGGGTCCTGACAGGAAAGTAGAGTTTAGGGGAGAGGACTCCTGAATTCTCTGGGGACTAGGGAGCGTAACACCCGTACTCCTGTGTCCTGAAGGGAGTTGAGGACCCGACTCCTAGAAGGGGGTGTGTCTTGGTCTGCAGTGGAGTAGAAACTGGAGCTGTTGGAGAGGATCTTCTCAAGGAGGAAAGGGAGTGAAGGCTCTGATTCCTGATGGAGGTAGGGGTAGTCCATGACTGGAGACTTGGATCCCCATGTGGGTAGAGGGGACCTGGGTACCCCAGGGAGCTAGAACCCTTGGAACCCCCAAAGGGATACAGGGTCTGGGTTTCCTGGGGAGAAAAGGCTTGCATGCAGCCTTCCAGGTCCTCAGTGGGTCAGTGGGCTTTGAATCTTCATTGGCATTGGGGAGGGGGACACACAGGTCTCAGATTCCTGACTCCCAAGAGGACTGTGGACCTTGGTTCCTAATTCCTGGTGGTGGGAGGTTTGGGTCCACAGGGAGGGAAAAGGAGGTCCGTGAGAGAGAGCTGGAGACCTCTTGGTCCCTCTTGGGGAATAGAGGGATGTATAATATTTGCTCTTCCACGGGTCTACTCCTTTCCTAGCTTTTAGGGGAAGGATGAGTTCACAAAAATGGAGGGAGGGGGCAAAAAGTCTGGGCGTGGTGGGTTCTAGGGGTAGCCAGAGACCAGGAATGAGGCTTTCTGGGTGTGGAATGGCAGAAACCCATGACCTCAGAGCTAACCCACTTATCTCTCATGGATTCGGATCTTGGCAGCTGCCTCTCTCTCTGTGAGTTTGACTGGAAGAGGATTTGACTGCCTCCATTTCACAGGTGCTGATCCTGAGTGATTCAGGGGGTCTCTGGGGAGTCTTCCTCGGTCTCTCTTTTTTAGGTGTTTCTGTGTCTGTGGTCTTGATTTCTTCTGTCATTAAGCCCTAACCCTTTCTGGCCTTGGTGTTTTGTGCCCCTGCCTTTTTGGAAAAACAGCCACCCTGTTGCACTAGTCCAATGTTTGTGGCTACGTCAGGTGTGTGCACAGAGAGAGCCGCAGTAATCAAGGGCCCAGAGTCTGACTGGGCAGTCATCCCAGACTGTGGGAACGCGCCACGAGTGAAGCAAAGGCAGAAACCACAGTGCCTAGGATGTTTCAGGCTGCTAGCTACGTGTACAGGAGAAGCTGCAAGTCACAGAATTACATATCAAAAACAGAAAGGGAGTACTGGAGAGACTATCTAATAGACTCTCTTTTGTGATAGATGGGGAAGCAAAGCCCAGAGAGGGGAGGCTCTAGGCCCAACATCACACAACAAGGCCCTTTGTGGTCTGGCCCCTGTCTGTCCTCATTCCTTGACTTCCCTGTCTCCAACCAGCATGATGGGTCTTCCTTCTGATGTTTGAGTGGGCCACCTTGGGCCCTGCCTCAGGACCTTTGCAGTTGCTGTCCTCTCTGCTTGTAATACTCTGACCTCAGATCTTCCCATGACTGACTCTTGCTTGTCAATCATATTTCTGCTCAAATGTTCCCTCAGAAAGGCCTTCCCTGACTACCCTAACTGAAGTATCTCACCCACTCAGTTGCCATCAAGTCAACTCCAACTCATGGCGACCCCATATGTGTCAGAGTAGAACTGTGCTCCATAGAGTTTTCAGTGACTGATTATTTAGAAGCAGATCACCAGGCTTTTTTTCCAAGGTGCCTCTGAGTGGACTCGAACCTCTAACCTTTCAGTAAGCAGCCGAGTGTGTTAACCGTTTGTCCCATCCAGGCACTCCCAAGTAGCTCACACACCCCCATTATACATCTCATCCAGTTGATTTTTCTTGTGGCCATTATTACTATCAGAGATGCTCTTACTTATTGATTTACTTATTTATTGGCTCTTGTCCCCTTGCCTGTCTTGTTCTCTGCTGTATCCCCAGCAGCTAGAACAGTGCCTGGCGCACAGTAGGTGCTTGGTAAACATTTATTAGTTTAATTCATTAGTCAGTGGCAGAACTAGGGCTAGAACTCAGATTGTCGGTCTCTTCCTGTATGACAGGGAAAAGGAGCAAGATGGGGAGAATTTTAGAAAAGCATTTAATGGGAAAGCAAGTCTGAGGTCAGGGCACCTGGGAAGCAAGCACAGCTTTGCCACTGTTGCTGTGTGTGACTTGGACCAGTGCCTTATTTTCCCATCTGTGAAACGACAGGGCTGGATGAGAGCATGAGATCCTGTTGGCCTGGACAGCGGAAGACAAGAATAACTGATGACAAGAAGACTCAGGGATGGTACCTCCCATCTCCAGCTTGAACTCCCCCCGTTGGCACAATCTGTCCCACCAAACTGAGATGGCCAAGATGCGCTCTCTCGTGTAGGATTGATTTGCTGGTCGAGTGATGTTCTTAGGAGCTGCTGCTGCTGTTAGTTGCTGTCATGTCAGTTCTGACTCGTGGCGGCCCTTTAGGTTAGCCGTCGAATGTAAACCATTTATGCAACCTCGAAACCTTTTTCTTAGGAGCCAGTGAGGTGGGAAGGAGCCCTGGTAGCACAGTGGTTAAGAGCTACGGCTGCTAACCAAAATGTCAGCAGTTCCAGTCCATCAGCCACTCCTTGGAAACCGTTTGGGGCAGTTCTCCTCTGTCCTATAGGGTCGCTATGAGTTGGAATCGACTCAATGGCAACGGTTTTTTTTTGTTTTAACGAGGTGGGAAAGGAGCCCTGGTGGCACCATGGTTAAGTGCTCGGCTGCTAACCAAGAGGTTGGCAGTTCAAACTCACCCAGCAGCTCCCACAGGAGAAAGGCCTGGCAATCTGCTTCCACAAAGACTGCAGCCAAGGAAACCCTATAGGGCAGTTGTATTCTGCACACAAGGCGTTGCCTTGAGTCAATCAACTGGAAGAACCAACAGTGAGGTGGGAAGAGGCATTTGGTTCTACTTTGAATGGCTCCAGGCATTGTCCTCCAAGCTCTTTCAGCCTTGAGGGAATGCTGTTCATCTCTCCCTGTAATACCCAGCACACCACTTTATCTAACCGTCTCCTCAGTCCGCCCTTCAAGCCCCTCAATCCAGTTTACCAGCCACATGAAAGAGCAGGAGAGCCATAGAGCAGTGCTGTCCAATAGAAACAATGCAACCGTCCTATGTCATTTAAATGTTTCCAGTAGCCACATTAAAAGTGTAAAAAACAGGCTAAATTAATTTTTTATAATATCTTTTACTTAGCCCAATATACCCAAATTTTATTTCAACAGAGTCAGTATAAAAAGTACGAATGAGCTAGTTTACATTTTTCTCGTGCTAAGTCTTCGAAATTTGGTGTGTGTTGTACACTTACAGCACATCTCAATTCAGATGGTGCATTTTCATTGGGAAATGAGTAATCTGTATTTAGATTTCATAAAATTCCTAGTTGGAGAAGTAGATTCGCATACCCAAGTTACCCCAATTATATCTAATAGTTTTCCCATAACTGAAATGAGTATTGGTTTTTAAATTAACCAACCAGTTACTGCCAAGTTGATTCTGACTCATGCCAACACCATGTGTTCTGAGTAGAACTGAGCTCCATAGGGTTTTCAATGGCTGCGACCTTTCAGAAGTAGGTCACCAGGCCTTTCTTCCAAAACACCTCTGGGTGGATTCAAACCACCCACCTTTTCATTTGTAGCAGAGTGCTTAATTGTTTACACCACCCAGGGACTTCTTTAATTAGAAGTAAATAAAATTCCGGCTCTCAGCCACCCTAGCTCCATTTCAAGTGCTCAGTGGCTACCATATTGGACAGCACAGATCTAGAACGTGTCCATCATCACAGGAGATTCTAGACAGTGCAGCGCTACAGTCAGTCTGCTGACTCTGGGGGTGACCTTGGTCAAATCAAGTCACTCAGCAAATCGCATCTACCTCACAGGGCTATTGTGAGAATTCAGTAATACACAAACACATACACACACACGTCGATGTAGTACAGCAGCTCCTGAGAAACTTGACACACGCTGGGAGCTCAGATAGTCCCATTGCCCCTGCCCACACACCGTGACCCCAGGCAGCACCGAGACAACTCTAGCGTGGGCACGTTCTGTCTCACCACCATGCCTTTGCTCACTGAATGCCCTCCTGTTTTTCTGCTGCTTCAACACCGCCTCTCATTTGGTCCTGGCCTTGGCATCCCTGGCTCCCTCTGTCTCCCTGTTCTAAATTCCCTCTGCCCTCATGCACATCTTTCCCATCTGAGAAAGCAAGGCCCAGCTGTGTGTGTGTGTGTGTGTTGGGGAGGGCTGATTTTGTTCACATAGCTGTATACTGGCATTCTTGGATGTTTCAGCTACTGTTTGTGGTAGTTGCCTTTTAAATCCTGACTTTTGACGGTACTGCTTTCTAAGCTCTCTGGAGGCATGAGGTTGCTAATGAGCATCTGTCTCCGGGAGCATCCAAGGAGAAAAGACTAAGATTCCCTTTGGAAGGACCCATGGTATATCTGTGTGGCACCTCCAGACCGGAAAACCCTCCAAGGCAGGAATGCCTGGAAACGTAGGATGAATCTTGGCATTGGCACACCCTGAAGCAGAACAGACACCAAGAAACTGGTGAGTGGAAGAGAACCTATCACCTTAGCTGAGTTTCATATACTACTGGATCATGATGGATCACGATGGATCATCATGGGGTAGGGAACCAAGAAGGGCAAGTCAGGGGTGCCGTTGGCATGTGGTGCTTTTTGAAGGAATGAATAAAAATGAGTAGAAATCTTGTACTATGTGTCTGTTTCTTGTTGGTTTGTCCTGAAAGAGCCTCATCAGAGAAATCCCTCAGAGGGACCCCAGCTACATCCAAGCTCCATCACCTCATAGCCGTGTGACCCTGGCAAGTATTTCTCTGTGCCCCAGTCCCCTTGTCTGAAATAGGCCATTGGTAAGAGAATCTGCCTCCCAGGGCTGTTGTGGCCTGGAAAGACTTAGCAAGAGCTGGGCTAATTGTAAACTCTCCAATGAATACAAGCCTTTATTTCAAATTCCGCTTCTTATGTAGCCCCCTCCCTCACCATTTTCTCTAAATTAGCACACTCTGTTATTTATTATCACATCTCTGGCTTTATTTTCTTTATACCATTTTTCCCCAGCCAGAATTGTTTATTCATGTGCTCACTTGTTTTAATGGGTGTCTTCTCCACTTAAGAAAGGAAGCTTCGTGAGGGCAGGCTGTAAATTTCTCGGTCATGCACCCAGCCCAGGTTTCCAAATATAGAAGGCCCTCAATGGATAAGTGTTGGATGAAGGAATGAAGGAACTGAAGGGATGAATGTTACCACATAGTTGCAGTGGAAGCTGAAATCTAGAAGAACTTGGGATTCAGGCACTGTGGTAGACTGTTGGCGTTAATGTCCCATTTTGTTTAGCTTCCCTTGGATAATAGTCCTGACTCTGGACTTGGCCGTGCGGTTTGCTGTGGCAAACGGGACGATAGCAAACATGATGCAAGCAAAGTGTTCATGCATCACAGCTTCCTCTCTTGCTGTTCTTGGGACTTCTGCCACCACTGCCATGTTAAGAACCCCAAGCTAGCCTGCTGGATGGTAAAGGACACATGGCCCAGTCAGCCTTGACACCCCAGCCCATAGAGCAGTGCTGCCTAGCTGTCTGGCAGCTGGCCTCGGATCCATGAGCGAGTCCAGCTGCTCCCAGACCAAATTGTTGACTCACAGAATTATGAGCTAAGTAAAAGGTGGTTGTTTTAGGCCACTAAATTTTGGAATGGTTTATGATGTGGCAAGATAACTGATACAAACTTATGACCCAATGATTAAAACTTTAAGCTCTGCCACTTTTTAGTTGTGTGGCCCCTGATGTGGCATCCCTCTCTGAGCCTCAGATTCTTCAGAACACAGAGATGAGAGTAATGGTCCCTATCACTGTTACTGTAAACGTAGAATCAGAAGCAGCCTCTAAGAGGCTGTGGTGGTCATTCATGCTGTTTACCAAACAAGCCCAGCTCTCTGCCTTCTGGTAGGGGGCACGATTATACTTTCTGCCCCCTGCTCCCACACACACACACCCCAACTTCCTACCCTGCTGTGGCTGGGTGGGACCAAGTGATTAGCTTCATCCAATGAATGGCCTTAAGTTACATCTGGGTCTCAGCATTTAATCACCCATGTGAGACTTTCTTGGGCTTTTTCCTGTGGCACAAACATTGGCAATGACAACGATGAGCAGAAGCCCCTATGGATGGTTCTGGACATACGGAGTAAGGAAAAACCAACCTTTTGTGAATGGGCACTTGTTTAAAAAATATCCACTTCTCTTTCCCCTCCACTGGAGGTCACATACTTACTTCCCTGCCTTACTGATGTTGGGTTTGGCCATATGATTTCCTTTAGCCAATGGAGTGTTAGCAGATGTGACCTGAGCAGGGGCCTTAAATGCCCTTGGCTTCTGTGTTCCCGTGATTTGCCATGAGAAGAACATTCCCCAGGAGACTGTGGAAACCCATGAAAGAGATTTGAGCACTATCCCAAAACTGGAGCAAGCCAGCCAATTCACAGCTGAAAGCAGACCATCCCAGCCACCCACTATGGTGTGATGGATCACTTTTATATGGCCTTTCTAGCCATGGTGGTGTAACTCCCACCAAATGACTGGGTGGGGCTATGGAAATAAGGTGCTTGTGGCCCACCAAAGGGATTGGACAGCTTGCTAACAATGCAAATAAGGTGCATGGAACTCCTGTGGGGGGGGGGTGGGACCATGCAAATAAGGTGTATGAAACCCTAATGAGGGGATTGGTCAGTTTTGCTAGCCTGCTAGGCTTAAAAGAGCCAATCCCAGCGCAGAGGGGGACCTCACTACCACCAAGAAAGAAAAGCCAGGAGTGGAGTGCGTCTTTTGCACCTGGGGTCCCTGCACTGAGAACCTCCTAGACCCAGAAGACAGACAGCTGCAACACAAGATGGTGAGAAGTAGTGGCAGAGAAATGGCAGCAGCAGAACCAGGAGACTGGCACAAGATGGTGCAGTGGGCAAGATTGAGAGCCTGTCCTGACCAAAGAACTATATCCTGAGTCGTTTCTGACCCTGACTTGTATGTAACTTGTTACTTCCCTAATAAACCCTATAACTGAATATGGTCTGTGACTTCTGTGTGACCATTGCAATGAATTACCAAACCCAGCAGAAGTAGAAAGAGCCATGGGAGGGACGGCTGGTCTCAGAATTGATAAAAAGGTTGGAGAGAGGAAGTATTTCTGACCTACACCTCATAGGAATCAGCCTTGGACTGCTGATCTTGATTCTCCTTCCCCCTTGTGAAGTTAGACGAGGAGGCCTGACACTGCCCCCATGTCACCATTTTTATACCCACAAACATGTAGAAAGGAAAATGCTTGTTGTATGTCTCTGTGTTTTGGAATGGTTTGTTACACAGCATTATTGCAGCATTAGTTGACTAATACATCTTTGTTATTTTAAACCACAGAGTTTAGGTGCTTATTTGTTACTGTTGTATAATCTAGTCTGTCCTGAATGGTGCCAATGTTTAGCACCTGGCAGCTAATGGCCACTCAGTAAGTGGCAGCTATTATGATGATTATTATTTACTCAGACATACCATCTCTAAAGCCTACATTGTCTTAAAGATGTTGGGCACTGCACTAAGTGCTTTTTAAGTTTTCTTTCATTTGACTGTTACAACCATCCTGTGAGGTAACTGTTAATATCCACCTTTTGCAGGCATGAAACCTAAGGCAAAAAGAGGGAGATGTTCATCAGCAGAGGTGATTATGGACTCTGGAGTCTGACAGAGCTGGGTTCAAATTAGGCCTCTGACCCTCCATAGCTGTTTGACCCAGGACGAGTGACTTCCACAGTCTGTGCCTCAGTTTGTTAATCTGTAAAATGGGGTTAATAATATCAACTTCATACAGTTATTGTAAGGATGAAAAGAGGTACAGCATGGAAAACTACGAAAGCTTAGCAGAGGGACTCCGCAGGGAATAACTGCTTAATAAAAGGCAGGGCCTTCTCTCTCTTCCTCACAAAGAGGGAGCACCCAAGACTCAAGGCTTGCTCTGCTAACCTTTTAATTTCCAGGCAAATGGGAGAACTGCAGGCTGGGGACAAATGGGGCCCTCAAGCCACCTATTCCTCACTTCTTCACTCAGCCCTGCCAGGAGGTTGGGGCGCTGGGAGGCAGTCTGCTCGGTGGAGGAAGTAGAGATAGGAGGCTGAGGGCAGCTCAGACCCAGCCTTGGTGTAGCAGGCACTCTCTGTAGCACAGCCCCGAGTGGCAAATTTGGTGGTGATGATTCCTGGGAAGGAGATTTCAGACTGGAGCCAGAGTCCCCAATCCCCCCCTCTCCCTACCTTCTTCACAACCTAGGAGTCCTGGCTCCCAGCAACCTCCTCTCCCAGTTCTCTGGAGCCCCTTTGTCCCCTGGAGCCCAGAAGTCTGGGCCTCCAGTTCTGAGCCCCCCTCCTCCTCCAGGGACCCAGGTGCTCCTCACCAGCCTGCACATTGCCAGCGAAGTAGATGCAATGGGTCTCCTGACCAACACAGCGGGCTGCCTGGGTCCCGGGACAAGACTCCTGGAAGGGTGCAATGCAGGCAGGGCACTGGAGGCCGTTCTCTGTGCGATTGTTTTGGGGAGCTGGGGGTGAGGGTAGAGTGCAAGGTTAACAGGGAAGTTTAAGCCCTTCCCTCAACCTCACAACCACTCTGGGGGACACTGAGCCACCACGTATTTTACACGTGGGGAAACTGAGGCTTGGTACGAGCACAGTGCTTGCCAGATATCCCCGCGCGGCTGTTGGACAGGGCTAGAAGGGGGTCCCCGGGCGGGGCGGGGCAGGGGCATACCGGGTATGGAGCCATGGTTGCAGCCATCGCTCTGGCAGCAGTGTGCGTTGGAAACCATGTAGTCCTTGGAGCCCATAGTGGTGGACACAAAGCCCGAGTAGCAGTCTTTGAACTTCATGCATGCCTTGTAGGTGTTCACCGACTGATGTCCCTCTATGGGGTGGAGGATGGACAGAGCAGCTGGGCAGTGCATTTGACAGCACCCAGCCTTGAGGGCTCTCCTACACCTCCCCCACCCCGCGACTGCCTGGGACAAATGGGGGCCTCAAGCTACCTGTTCCTCACTTCTTCACTCAGCCCTGCCAGGAGATTGGGACGCTGGGAGGCAGTCTAAGCCATACAGTGTCTTATTAGGAAGCCCTCCCTACTCATACCCTGCAGTGGCTCTTTGGCGGTCCGCTGCAGCTCTCTATTGCCAACACCCCAGGTGCCTTGTTGACACGGTTTCTTCCAACCCACTCCACCCCATCCTTCTCTCCTGTCCAGCCTGTAGTGGTCTTTTGCAGGCCGTCTATGGCCACCCCCCATGTCTGTGTGAGATGGTCGCTTCCAGCCTCAGAACTGTCACCCTCCCTGCCTGGGGTGGTCCCTTCCAACAAACCCTGGGATACCGCCCAGCCCCCAACACCTATGCCCCTTCTCTGTCTAGGGTGGTCTTTTCCAGATTCCCTCATAGTCAATCCCCAGGCCTCCCTTAGATGGTCTCTTGCTGTCCCCCTTCCAACTCAATGCAATGGTTTCCCTCCTTTTCCTCGCCCCCGAGGGTGGTTTTTCTCCAGCTCCCCTCAACACCCCTTCAGGGTCCATATCTTCCCCTATCTGCCGGGGTTGCTCTCTTCAAGCCTTTCAGGTCCTTTCTTCCATCCGCCAACGTTTGCTGGGTGGGTGGGACTGCGTGCAATCTTCTATCCCACCTTCCTTATACAATCTCTCCTGTCGGGATGGTTTCTTCCTACACTCAGAGTTACCCCCCATCTCCGGTCACAGCCTTTAGTCCTGCATCTTGCCCCATCATCTCTCCTCCTGTGACGAACGGTCTCTTTCAGCTTTCAATGAAAATCACCTCCTCCCCCTTGGTCTCTTCCATTGGTATGGTTTCACCCAACCTTTCTCAGGTCTGGGATGGTCTCTTCCATTTAAGTCATGCTCCTCCTCTCCCTTCCATTTCACTCTTAGTCCCCGGTCCCCCTAACGATGATTTTCTCCATAATTCGTAGTTATCTTCCCCCTCCTGTCTGGAATGGTCTCTCCCTCTACCCCAACTCCTCCTTTCAGGAATGGTCTCTTCCAGCCCTCACTAACCCCCGCCATCCCTGGGATGGTCTCTTCAAAACGTCTTTTGGTCGATTCCCCCCTCTCGTCCAGAATGGTCTCTTCCCGGATCACTTTGCTCTCCCCCTCTCCCAGTCTCTTCCTTCTTCTCTATCCCCCTCCCATTCTCCTTGCCAATTAGATTCTTCCACTGTATTTCTGTGTTCCTCCACGTCCTTTCCTCGCCTCCTCCAGCCTAACAAAGTCTCTTTAACCCCTTCCCCTATAGCCATCTTCTTTTGGAGTTGCTCATTTTTTTAAATTTAAAAATGGTTTCTGTCTCCATTCAATTGTCCTCCCTCCACCTTGTGATGGTTTTTTCCTCTTCCCTAGCCCCATCCGAATTTCTTCCCACGCCCCACCCTTCCCGCGAACTGTGATGACCTGCTCCCCTCCCTCTTCCTATCTTGAAGGTTCTCTCCCCGCCCCCTAGCTACGGTCCGACGCCCGGCGCTCTTACTTGTGCTGGACTCCCCCACGACGACTACGCATGCGTCCTTGCCATTCTCGCACGTCTTCATTTTTCCCTTGCACGTGGGCCCGGGGCCGTTGCATACCTCACAGCTTAGTGGGCATCCTGTAGGGCAGAGATCGGGGCTGTAGTCGTGGGTAGTGCTATCTGTGGGCCACGACTCCCACACTTCGGAGTCCCGAGGGAGATGGGGGCAGGGTCTCCTGCGACCCGGACACCTGGGTTTGAGGGAGGAGAAGACTGGATTTCTGGTCCTGAGAAAGGAGAGGCCTGGGGGTCTGGACTGATGGGTCTTGAGAGAGGAGGGACTGGTGTGTCTCTGATTTTTTATGGGGGAGGCATTGACCCGTGTCCAGGGAACTGTCCAGGACTGTGACAGGGACGCGGTGATGATGCCAGAAAGCTGCTCCCAGGGCGGGAAGCGACTCCACCATGAAGCCTGTTTACCTAATTACAAGCTTGGGGGCTTTGGATGACAAGATCGGCTGAGAAAGCTCAGAACGGGGAGGGGTCGTGGTGGAGGCTTTCATGGGCTTTTGTGAAGTTTCAGGTTCAGCTGGTTCGAGGGTGTGGAGCCCTCCCACTTGCAGATACAATGTAAGTCTTGTGGACAGTAGGAGCTCAGGCAGCGGTACCTGAAGCTGGAGTCTGCATCCCAGACCAAGGAGGGAGAGTGAGGACCAGGAGGGCTGGGGGCATGGACCCCTTGGTGTTGACAGAGGAGGGGCTGGGGGCCCAGACACCTGGGTCATAGACAAAGTGGGCCTGGTGCCCAGATTCCTGAATCTAAGGAAGGACGGGGCTGGGGGCCTGGACTCCTGTGTCTATGGGAGGAGGGGGCTAGGGCCTGGACTCCTGGGTTTGAGGGAGGAGGGGGCTAGGGCCTGGACTCCTGGGTTTGAGAGAGGAGAGGCTGGAGGCCTGGACTCCTGGGTCTGAGGGAGGAGGGGGCTGGGGGGCTGGATCCCTGCATCTGAGGGAAGAGGGTGCTGGGGCCTGAAGTCGTTAAGAGTCCAGGGAGAAAGGAGTTCTCCCTCATTCATATTCTCTTTTTCTTTTTTTAAAAAATATTTTACTGTACTTCTGGTGAAGGCTTACAGAACAAATAGTTTCTCATGAAACAGTAGTACACATGTTGTTTTATGACATTGGTTAACAACCCCACAACATATTAACCCTCTAAACTTCTCAACCTTTTTTTTTTTGGTGAAAATACACATAGCCAAAGATACACCGTTTCAAAAATTTCTATATGCACAGTTCAGTGACATCGACTACGCTCTTCCAATTGTGCTGTTATTCTCATTTAAGATGAACGCTTACAGAACAAAATAGTTTCTCATTTAGCAGTCACTACAAATGTTGCGCTATGACAATGGTTAACAATCTCACAACACATCAACAATATCCTTACTCAATCTTGGGTTCATATTCTCTCTTTCTTAATTAATTTTTTTTTTTTCTAGTCATGCTGTCATCTGATTTTCTAGAATTTGAATGTCTTACTTTGGGACCCTACCTGAGGGAAAGAGGATTCAGAGCCCATCAAGCCCCCTCCTCTCTAAGGGATCCAATCATACGAGTGTTTCTTCCCTTGAGGCCCCAGACTCTCTCTCCTTTAGCCTCTGCCTCCTCCATGAATCTGTATTCCTGGGGTACCTCCCCTTTCCCCCCTGAGGACCTTTGCTGAATGCTCTTTCATAGTCTCTGCTTTCCTGAGGGTCCCAGGAGTCCACAGCCCCAGTCACTCACCTAGACCCAGAAGTGTGCAGAGCAGCGTGAAGGTCAGCAGGAAGGTCCAGGGACAAGCAGAGGTCCTCATGATGTGTGAACCTGTAGTTCCAGGTCCCCAGCCCTTAAAGGAAGCTGAGGAGGGGCGGGTCCAGACCCACCTTCACCTGGGGTAAGAAGGAGCTGAGGTCGGAGCCAAGGGCAGGCCTCAGCAGCCCCCGGGTAGGGGAGGAGCAACCAGCATCCAAAAGGGACCTAAGCGTCTGGTGCCCAGCCCCCTCCTGCACCAGGATCTCGGGAGTCTGGGCTTCCAGCTCCCTCTTCCATCAGAACCCAGGAGATCACTTTTCCGTTTTTCACATCCCCGCCACCCATTTTCTTTACTCAAAGCCCAAGGTCTGAGTGGGGTCATTTCTTTCTCTGCGGGTGCGCAGCAGCTACAAGGACCGGGATCCCCTCTCGCCTTCCCAAGGAGGTGCCTAGTGTGGGTGGGGCCCCACCTGGGAGCGCCCAGCATGTCCATGCTCGTTCTGCGGGGCCCACGAGACTTGTCCTCCTTCCCTTTTCCTTCTAGCACTTGACTCATGCTCCCTTCTCTATGTTCGGGCTTTCTCTGGCGCCGACCCTGCCCAGGGCTGCACGCCTGGGTCTCTTGCGGACCGAATAGAAGGGTGCCTGTCTGCGGCCTGGCATAGGCGTGGCAGGAGACAGATGCTCACAGGTCACATTGGGAAACTGAGGCATGGGTGGGAGTACGCTAGGCTGTGTGTGTGTGTGTGTGTGTGTGTGTGTGTGTGTGTGTGTGTGTGGTTGTGGAGGCAGTGGTGTGTGTGTGTGTGTGTGTGCGCGTGTAGCCACGGGAGCCAGAGGACAGAGGAGGGGATCCTGTTACAGTAGGCTCCAGGCTCCCGGCGAAAATCCAACTCAGGTTGGCTGTCCTACTGTATTTATTAGGCTTCAGTTTGGGCGGTGATTGCATTGTCCAATGAGAATGGCGAATTTCTCCTAGGGACCAATCCCGGAGGCCGCTCCTGTTGCTAGGCGCCCAGAAAGCAGGATGTAAACGTCACCGGGAGGAGAGGTTAGAGAGTTGCGGGGTCAGAGAGAGGCGGGACTAGAGGAAAGCTTGTTGCTAGGGTACTCAGCGCTTCGCGCTTAAGAGGGGCGACTGGGCATGCGCAATGTCGACGCGAGCGCTGGCGCGCCGCGGTTTGAAAGGGCCGAGCCTCGCGCGCTTGCGCACTGAAGACAGTAGCGAGGAGTACCCCCTCCCTGCCCCCAAGCCCAGACCCTCCTGCGTCCTTCCGGCCAGGCGAAGCCCACGACGTTGACATGCCGGAGATCCGCCTCCGTCATGTCGTGTCATGCAGCAGCCAGGACTCGGTGAGGGGCCGGCGTGGGGGAGGTTGGAAGACGTAAGGGGATTAGTGAGGGGGGCTCTGCAAGAACTTTTGGGGTGTAAAAGGGAACTTCAGGAAAGTCTAAGGCGGGCCATGGGTAAACTTCCAGGAGGCTCTGAGTGAATTCTGGGAGAGATGTGGGGTAGGGGAACTTCAGGCGTGTGGAATTTCCGGACAGAAAAGGAGGAATAGGGGAGCTTCCTTGGAGAGCCCGTAGGTGAACTAGGGGAAAAGGTTGTAGAGGAAACTCCCGGCAGCGTGTGGGGGCATTAACAGAGGGACTTAAATGTGGAGAATCGCAGAGAGCTTGGAAGGATTCAGAGGAATAATCTGAGAGCTGAGCCTAGCTCTCATCTCGGTGCTCTAACCCTCTCTTTCTCATTCTTGTCCCTAGACCCACTGTGCAGAAAACCTTCTCAAGGCGGACACATACCGGAAATGGCGGGCAGCCAAAGCAGGCGAGAAGACCATCTCTGTGGTCCTCCAGGTGACCCTGCCCTCTCCCCACCTTCGTCTCTCTAGGAGTCTGGAGACTCAGGGTCCAGGCTCAGCTCTTGAGTCAGCTGGCAGTGGTTTGAGTCCGTTTCACTTCTGGGCCTCAGCTTCCTTACCTGGAAAATGGGTAGTGTGATCCCTGTGCCCCACAGCATAGAAGAAAAGAGACCCAAGGACTAGGCCAGAGATGACCGCGAGAATCAGAGCGTGGCCCCGGTAGGTTGCTTCTACTTTCTGGGCCTTGGTTTCCTCAACTGGAACAGAGTGAATTGTTGCCATGTATCCTGCTTCCTAAAGTCAGCGGGCTTATGGTGGGAAGATGGCTGGGAAGATCATCTAAGTCAATTGACTCCATTTTAACAATGAGGAAACTGAGGTGTAGGGAGGAGAAGTGAAGTGGCCAGTCTAAGCTGCCATTTCTGAAATGCTGGCTGGGTTCTTTCTGAGGACTTTTTGTACATGCTCTCTCTGAATTCACTCCACAGTCCTGCGAGGTGGTGGTGGTTATTGTTAGTTGCTGTTGAGTCGGTTCTGACTCACGGCGACCCCATGCGTGCAGAGTAGAACTGCTTCATAGGATTTTCAAGGCTGTGATCTTTCGGAAACAGATGACCAAAGCCTGTCTCCTAAGGCACCTCTGGGTGGATTCAAACTGCCAACCTTTTAACTAGTAGTCGAGCACTTAACTATTTGTGCTACCCAAACTTCCTATGAGGTTGGCAGGAGGCAAATAGGAAAGAGCGGCTTGACATGAGATGGTTACAGAATTCCAAACAGACTGTTCTGTGAGGACTAAGAAAATGATGGGAGGAGAATGCTAAATGCGTGTTAAGCACCTGCTGTTTCACCTGTGGAAACGCTGGTGGTATAGTGGTTAAGAGCTACGGCTTGCTAACCAAAAGGTTGGCAGTTCAAATCCACAAGCCACTCCTTGGAAACCCTATGGGGCAGTTCTACTTTGTCCTATAGGGTCGCTATGAGTCGGAATCGACTCGATGGCAATGGGTGTGTGTTTCAACTGTATGATCTTGGTCATCTGAGACTGAGATTGTACTTACTGCTTTGTGTTTACACATGAGTTTTCTTGATTTTGGCCACATTCCTTAGTTCTGAATGTAGGGGAGTTTGGGGAGGAATGTTGGGAAGGCAAGGCTTACGTGAGTGTATTTGACACTGAACATAACTTTGGTCTCTCACGCAGTGATTCTAAAAAACTTTGGGATCACAGAGCCTTTTGAGAATTTGATAAAAGCTGAGGATTCTCTTCCCAGGAAAAATACACAGACCCACAGAATTTCCTGAATCTCTAACATAATAATAATAACGAGCACTAACATTTATTCAACGTTACAACCTGCCAGTCAACCATTCTAAACACCTCATATGGATTAACTTGTTGAATCTTCATAAAACCCCCCATGACCTAGGGTCAGTTATTATCTCCATTTTACAGATGAGGAAACTGAGGCCCAGAGAAGTTATGCAACTTGCTCAGGAGTCAGCATCTTAAATTCAGGGAGATACAGCTTGCTCAGTATTTATTCTTTGGACCTGGATTCAAGCTCTCCCTCTTACTCACTCTCTGACCTCAGGCAGATTGTTTTGTTTCTCTGAACCTGTTTTCTCATCTGTCCATTGGGAATAATAAGATCTAAGCCCAGGGTTGTTGTGAAAAGTCAGTGACATAATGTCTGCAGAAGTGCTCTGTCAACATACAAGTGTTTGTGTAAGGGGAGGGATTTGTGTTTTATTACCGGGTGATGATTCTCCTGGGCTCCCTTACGATCAGGTGACCTCAGGGAAATCACGGGGTCAGTACCCTAGTTGCAGTGGGAACAGAGAACGGAGGCAGGAAAGACAGGACGTGGAGGGTTAAGGGAGCAGGAGGAGCCAGGATGAGGCACAAGATTCTCTGGCTGGGAGACTGAGGGCAAGAGTGCAGCTGAGATGGGATACCCAGAGAGGGGGCAGCTTGGGAAGGTGATGTGTTCAGTTGGGACATCCAGGTTTGATATGACTTTGGGACGTTCAGGAGGTGGCATCCAAGAGGCAGTTAGGGATCCGATGTGGAGCCAGAGACAGAGGTTTGGGACTTGTCAGCACAGGGACAGGATCAGAAGGCCCAGGAGTGGATGGATTCATTCATCTGTTCATGCATTCATTCAACACATAGTTATTAAGCATCTTCTATAGAGCCAGAGGAGCCTGGCATAGTTTTGGTTGGTTAAGCGCTACGGCTGCCAGCCAAAGCGTTGGCAGTTCAGATCCACCAGCTGCTCCTTGGAAATCCTTTGAGGCAGTTCTGCTCTGCTCTGTAGGGTCACAGTGAGGCAGAATCGACTCGACGGCAACGATTCTGGCTTGGTTTTTGGTATAGAGTCAGAACCAACTGGATGGCAAGTGGTCATAGGCCAGGAGGAGCCCCAGGATGGTGTAAAAGGTTAATGAGCTCGGCTACTAGCCAAAAGGATGGAGGTTTGAATCCACCCAGAGGTGCCTCAGAAGAAATACCTGGTGATCTGCTTCCACAAAGCACAGTTCTGCTTTGACCCACATGGAGTTGCCATTGAGTTGGAATCAACTCAATGGCAACTGGTACTGGTACCATAGACCAAGCACTGTTGTGGATGTTGGGCTTTAGAGCAGTGGACAGCATAAGATGAAAAATATCTCAGTCCTTTGTGGGGCTTTCATATTGGCAGGGAAAGACAGACAAGTCAATAAGTAAAACATATGTCAGATGATGAGTGCTATGGGGGGAAAGTTAAAGTTAAGGGGAATAGAGCGTGCTCAGCAGAGGAGGGTAGTTGTTTGTATTTAAATAGTGGGGTCACGAAGGCCTCCCTGAGAAGGTGACATTTTAGCAGAGTGAACTATGCAAATATCTGGGGAAGAACATTCCAGGTAGTTGTTTCTTGCCATTGAGTTGACTCCCAACTCATGGCAACCTCATGTACGACAGAAAGAAATGCTGCCCAGTCCTGTACCATCTTCACGATCACTGATATGCTCGAGTCCACTGTTGAGGCCACTGTGCATTTTGAGTGCCTTCCAACCTAGGGGGCTCATCTTCCAGCACTATATCGGGCAGTATTCTGTTGTGAGCCATAGAGTTTTGATTGGTTGATTTTTGGAAGTCAGTCGCCAGGCCTTTCTTCCTAGTCTGAGTCTGAAAACTCCACTGAAAGCTGTCCACCATGGGTGACCCTGCTGGTACTTGAAATACCGGTAGTATAGCTTCCAGCATCATAACAACACATAAGCTACCACAGTGTGACAAACTGACAGACAGGTGGTGGATTCCAGGTAGAGGGAGTAGCAGAGACAGAGACTGAGGTGGGCTTGTGCCTGGTGCGTTGCAGGAACAGCAAGGAGGCCAGTGTGGCTGGAGTGGAGTTAGCCTAGGGGAGAGAGGTGGGAGATGAGCTAATAGGGTGAGGGGGGTGTGGAGCTGACTAACACCTGGGGCCTGGAGCACCGCTGAAGAACCTTGGCTTTGACTCTGAGAAGGAGCCACCAGAGGGCTCTGAGCAGAGTGCGGATAGGGTCTAATTTCAGTTTTCGTGGGATCCCTGTTTTCTGGGTCGAGAGGAGGCCACGGGGGCAAGGGCAGAGGCAGGGAGACCAGCACTGCCGTGGTCGTTAACTTCTCCCTTTGGAAGGTCTGATTGCAGGTGGTGGTTGCCAACATTAGGGGCGACCCCTGCTGAATGCCAGATTTGGTTCTTTTGAAGTGTGCGATAAGGCAGAAATATTTGGACATAAGACGTGTAGACTAATCTGGGTTTTTCTCCTGCTCTGTATTTTCTCCTGCAAACAGTATTACGTGACATCTGGAAATTACCACGTGGGGTTCAGCCCTCTGCTCGTGACATCCCCCCACACACCTCTTTTGGCTGGGGTGGCCGTAGGAGGCTCTGCTGTCAGCCCGTCACCTGCTCCCAGGAGGGGAGAAGTTCTAACCACTCCTGGGCTGGGGAGGGTAGTCAGGAGGCAGTCCAGGTGTAACACCTTTGCCTCACTGGATGTGCATCCTTTAGAAGAAACGTTCAACAGCAAGTTTGCACACATTTTTGTTTTTCGGTGGTCTTTCCTCACTCGATTTGCCATTATGATGTTTTAAATTTGCTTTTACCTTTTTTTTTTTGACTTGTAACATACGTATAATAAAGTATGCATATAATTAAGTGTACATCTCCGTGAATCCTCACGGCTGAAACCCCATGTACTCCACACCCACATCAAGTCAAAGAACCTGGCCAGCCCTTGAAGCCCCCTCATGCTCCTTCCTCAGTACCCCCCATCTCCCAAGGGTAACCACTATCCTGACTTTTAGCAACATAGATTAGTTCATAGAAGTGGAATCATGCAGTATGTACTCTTAGCGTTTCTGGCTTCTTTCGCTCAATTTCACAGTTATTAGTTTCATCTATGTTGTTGGGTGTAGCTGTAGATAATTTATTTGCATTTTTATTCAGTATTCCTTTGTATGGAGATAAAAAACAAACCAGCAAGCCAGTTGCCATCAAATTGATTCGGACTCAAGGCAACCCGATGTGTTTCAGAGTAGAATTGCGCTCCACAGGGTTGTCTTGGGTGTGATCTTTTGGAAGCAGATCACCAGGTCTTCTGAGGTGCCTCTGGGTGGATTCAAACTGCCAGCCTTTTGGTTAGTAGTTGAATGCTTAACCATTTGCATCACCCAGGGACTCCTGTATGGAGATAAAGGTTGTGAGTTTATTAACTTTACTTTTGGAAGGGGTATTATATGTACATAGGGCAACGTTGCAAAGGCACAAAAGGATGTATGCTGAAGAGAAAATCCCCCTCCCACCCTGTCTCCCTGCTATCCAGTTCTTCTCTCATGGGACAACAACTGTTGGCAGTTTCTTATGTGGCTTTCCCCAGGCTATTCTGTATATACCTGTTGCCGTGGAGTTGATTCCAACTCACAGCGACCCTATAGGACAGAGTTTCCAGGGAGCTCCTGGT